TCCCAATAAGTTAAAAAAAAAAAAAAAAAAAAAAAAAAAAAAATAAAAAAAAAAAAAAAAAAAAAACTCTGCTATTGTAAAACTATATGTATACACCATCTAATAAAATGTGATTTCTTAAAAAAAATAATATAATTAACAACTGAAAAGAATAATGTCTTTTCATGTTTGTTTGCTTTATGTTTATAATTTTTTTTTCGACGGAAAAAACTTGCATTTCATCTCATCAATAATTAAGAATTTTCCATCTCGATGTTGTTATTTTATATTTTAAATGCATAAATTCACCCCTTATATTTTACTAAAATTTTTTTGTCAAACTTCAAACTTTGTAGGTGACCTATTATACCCATAAGGTTACAAATTTGGTAATATTAAACATGTCTCTACACTAGTAATGACCATTATTTGGTATCTTTGGCTTTTATAGATAATATATTAATTGATATATGGTTAGGATAACTTTTTGAACAATAAAATTTACATTTTTCAATTATCCAAAAGTATTTAATTCATCTAATTTTACAAACTGAAGCGTTCAATAGAATAATTTTTCAAGTTAAAGTTGAACTATTCAATATAGGGATGATTTTATGCATTTGGCCCATGTGATATTAGATTGACCGTAGCACGCAGTCTAATTAACATATTAGCAAAAATTGACCAAACAAATTGATTTAATTCAATTTGATTTTGTTTAAACGTTGTTCGGCAAAATTATTTGTCTATTAGTTGTCCTAGTAGTTATCGGCTATTTTATTAGCGTTTCATCAAAATTTTTAATAATCCGCTTTATCAAACTCTAAATACTAGTATAAACATTACGCAAATAAACAATATAAATGACAGGCTTTTTCGCAAATGCACGAAATTGCAAACAAGTAATAAAGAGTGACTAGAGTATCGTTCCCACGAGAATTGTATACCAAGTATCAAAATTGTGTTAACCTACTATTATTTAAATGACAATAAGAAGAATAATTCTAAAATAAAAGAAATAAAATAAAGTGATTAAAAAGAACTCAAGCAAGTAATTGTTGAAAAGAAATCAAGGATTAAAAGCTACTAAGGATTTTTACTTCAAATAATTGTATCTGATTTATTTTATTAATTTGATAATCAATTTTAATTATTCTTACTTTTTCTAAAAAGAAATCAAGGATTAAAAGCTACTAAGGATTTTTACTTCAAATAATTGTATCTGATTTATTTTATTAATTTGATAATCAATTTTAATTATTCAAGTAGGGGAAACAATCCTAAAATCATTAACAAGTTTTCCCGATGTATTGCTAGCTATTTTAACCGATCTAATTATCTATCTTCCAATAGCACAATCAAAATGAATTAAATCATTAAGTTTTATGGTTTGTTTATGAATTCATAACCTAAGGTCGTTAACTTATAAAAACCCTCCATGAGTCAAACCATATAGTTTCCGCATCAAGTTATTATTCTCATGTAATTTATTACATTTTTCATATCAAAAACATTTCTCCTGATAGTGAGACAGGGAAGAAACTCTTCCTTAAGTTCAATAATAAATTATATCATGAACAAGAAAAAGCAATATAATATTATAAATTGGCATCGAAATTAAGCGACATCAAATCCTCAGTCTATGAATTTAGTTCGACATAGTAAATAATTGAACCCAAATAAACTTGTAAATATTCTCATAATCAACATGAATATTGAAAATAAAAAAGGAAGAAAGTTTAGAAATAAAACTAGTCGACAATTGGCTTGTAACGCTTCCTTAAATCTTGATCTCCAACTTGATTGCTTGAAGTCTTGTAAATAGAAACGATTTGGAGAAAAGAATATGAAATTATGGATGTGATGTGAATCTCTTCTTTTAGTGTAGATATTTCTCTTCTTTTCGTAGGGTGTCTTTGAATCCGAGTAGTAAACTAGCTGGTCTAATTAGAAAGAAATATTATTAGAGTAGGAAACTGATTTTGTATTGTATTTCTTTCTAATTAGGAGTTTTCTTTGATCAAATAAGATTGGAACTCAAACAAGGTAAGTTTTATATTATTCTCATACAGTTCCATGCATAAGACATTACTTGAAGGAGCCTCATTTGCTGGTAATTATTGAGGCTTTAGGCTAACTAAAGTTGTTACTTAATGCAGAATTCTACTAGTTGATGTTCATCTTCTAGGAAGGTATGATTTTCTTTCAAAACCCTGTTTGGATAGCATTTGGTACATCTATTAATGATGCATTGCTTAATGCTCCCTAATTCAGGTATGAGGAAACCTTCAAGGCGTCATTCTTTTGAGAACATACTCGGGGTTAACTTGTACTGCAATTAAGAGCAACAAAGAAGGGTCTAGTTTGTCTATTCTTTGCTATGCAGGTTGAGCGATTTAGTTTAATTATAATAGAACAATATGTACTGCAATTAAGAGGGGTTAACTTGTACTGCAATTAAGAGCAACAAAGAAGGGTCTAGTTTGTCTATTCTTTGCTATGCAGGTTGAGCGATTTAGTTTAATTATAATAGAACAATATGATTAATAATCACATGTTATGTGCAATTTCGTTTTTAAAATTTTATTCTCATTTATAAAATATTGTTAAGAACGAATCTCCAAAATATATATATATATGAAATTGGTAGATATCCTATATAGACTAGAAATATGTATTATTAATTGAATGAATACATATCCCTAAACTTTGGCTAAAAAATCTTCTGGTCGTCCCTTCTTTCAAAGTGACATTATGGTCCTTCAAGTTGTAAATTTGGCATTAGTGCATACCCCTCCAGGGAGATGAGAACAGACGAATTTAAGATGTGTTGATGTGTCAAATAAAGTGCTGACGTGTCAAAAAAAGTACTGATGTTAAAATTAAAAATCAAGAGTGCCTGACGTGTGAGTCAAAAAAGAAAAGTACTTATGTTAAAATAATTATAATTAAATTTTAGTTTTACTCCCAAAATATTCTTAACTTTAAACGTGAATATGTTGTTGTCAATCCTATTAAGTTTTTCAAGCAATCATAAAATTATAATTAAGCTTAGTAGGTTATCCTCTAATAATAATATAAAACTAGGTAAGGGTTTAAAAATCATATAATATGCAATAGTCAATAAGCAATACAAAATATGGTATGATCTTTTAATTAATTCACAGAATTACAGTAATTAAACAATTACAACAATCTGCTAATAGTTTTTAACATTACATCACCATAATTAAAAACTAATCTATCCGTAAAACCCCGCCAACACCCAATCACCACTGTAAGTGAGAGCTCTTATTTCAGTTTTCCATCTCATCACAAAACCACAATGGGTTCCATTTTCAAAGCCTACTATTAAAAATCTAAAAGTTTTAAATTCATTTTTTCCACTACACTACATATCAGCACATTCCATCAATTGACATTTTTTCTAAAATTTCACACTTTTTTCTGTTTTATTCAGTACAACATGGTGGCAACTGCAAAGCTTTGTGTTCTCTCTTGTCCCATTTGGTGGTTCAAAACCAATATATACATATTACTTTTTTCTTATCAGTCACTATATATTATATATATAATATATATATATACTACTCCACTACATTCATATCATCTTCTCTTTTCTTTTTTCTTTTTTTTTTTTTTTGTGCGTCTGCAATCTTTTTTTTTTGTGGTCTGCAATTTTTTTTAAAAGGTGTTTGATTAGATCGTCATCCTCCACCAAAATAATATGCCGTGCACCTTCCAAGGAAGATTTTGTTGAACCAATTAATTGGAGAAGACCTGGTTCAACCTTCCATACTTTTTTCCCCTCGAATCCACGTATATATGTATTTTTGTTTAATAACAATTTAAGAAGATTACTAAAAAAATAAAAATCTAAAATGAGTTATCTTTTTTTATATATTTTCTAACTTTATTTTTGTTTTATCCATATCTCTATCTTCTATCCTATAATGTAATATGTAAAATATTATCTAATGATAAATGTAAAATTATCTAGAAAAAAATTAGAATTCAAATTCATGTACATAAAATATTTTTCTTCTAGTATTATTAATTTTTTTAAAAAATAAAATTACTGCTTACCATTTGAATTGTGTATATAAAATATCATACAAGAACAGTTTTACAAGTATAAAAAATAAATAAATTATTACAGACATAAATTTCTTTTTAATTAAGAAACTTGTAAAAATATATTAATTGCAAATTCTATATTCCAATTTACAAATTGAAGGTTATAAATTCATGATACATGGACCTTTACATTATATAAATTCTAAACCAAACAAATTTTATTCAAAAGCTAGATGAGTACATAGAAATTTGTTTTTAAAACTTGTAAAACATAATTTACGGTTTGTTTTAAACACTTGTAAAACATAATTTATAACGGCAAAATTGAAGATTGAATCAAGTTGAAATTTAAAGAATTAATAAATTTTAAAATAAATTTTTTTATATATATAGACGTTATAATTCTGATATTTTTAAAAAATTAAACTAATATTTTTATGAGCTAAACTAGTACAATAAGGATCTATTCTTCAAAAAAAAGTGTAAATGAAATTTAAAGATAACAATTAAATTTAGTTAAACTATAAACGTAGAAGTAAGTAAGGTAACCATTTTTATATAGTCTTTAAATTATAAAGTAGAAGTAATAAGGTACAATTTATATAGTTTAATTTATAATTTAATATTATATAAGGGTAGAGATTTATAGTCAAACATTGGAAATATATAATTTAATTTTTCAATTAAAAAATATTATATTAAAATTTTTATATATATGGAAAATAGATCTAGGTTTAAATACTAATTACAGTTTACCGTAAGTTTGACGCAAGGGACGAATTGCTATATAATGAGTTTCGAGTAAGTGAGTGAGTCTAATAGAACTAATTAGTAAGCTTTTACTACAAAAGAACTTTAACATTTTCAGAAATCTATTCCAAGCCAATAGGCCTATCCAATACACCAAGCTAGCTTGAAAATGTTAAACAAAAACCTGGTGATGACTAACACCATCGTTCTAGCAGTTCATCCAATAAATGATCATAAACTCCAATATCTGCATCAACCAAGATTGGAGATTTCTCTACAAGATTTGTTGGAGGAGAAACTGCATCTAAAAACACAATATCTGTATCGGTCAATGCAACTTCTCCCTCTGTAATTTGATTGGAATAAATGCTCTTGTAATCAGCCAAAACAAGATCTGAAGAATGGCAGCTAGAGTTAGGGTTTACAGAACTCAGATTGTTATGTCGCATCTTCTTTGAGTTGTCGTTCTCTTCTTCTTTCTCAGCAGGAGATTTTCTCTTCTTCCCATCAAGAAAAGGAACAGTTGCCGCCGTTCCTTGTTCAGAATTTTCTGCACGTTTGATTTTACAAATGACATAATCTCCCTTAAACTGCAAAAATCCATATGAACTATATTAGCATAAACATCAAACCCACTTACGAGATTTTAAAAATTAGGACAAAACTACGATCAGAAAACATTATAAACCAAAAGAAAATAAAAACCCTAAGGACAAAACTACGATCAGAAAACATTATAAACCAAAAGAAAATAAAAACCCTAAATTTACGATCAGAAATGAAAAAGATTACTTACCCGTTCATCTTTTAATGAGAACTCCAACATAGTCCAGTGGCCATTCGAGGAAGAAGCTTCTTTACCCTTTGCTTTAAAGACAAAATCTTTCTTCACATACGTAATATTACGGCAAGGGATGTCCTTAGAACTCCGGGCTGTCCAGGTTCCGGAAGGAGTTGTTCTCATACTTCTCTTTGCGCTCCTTGACTTCAACTTGGTGAAAACATAGAAGTAACCATTTACCGGCGTCTCGTTGCAGAAAATATTCCAAGGCTCATCGCTATAAAGGTCATCAAGGGTTTTTATAAATGCGTCTACAATAACGGGCAGCGTTTTGTGAAGCTTCTCTTGAAGATAAAAGCAAACAAGTTCTTCCTCTGTGGGACAGAAGCGATACCCAACCGGCAGCATAAATGGATTTCCCGCCATGGTTTTGCTCTCTCTCTTTCTTTCTTTCTCACAGCACCGACTTTCTTTCTTTCTCACAGCACCGACTGCAAACTATAATTCTTATTTTGAACCTTCAAAAATCTACTTTCCATATATATATATATATATAAAAAATCTACTTTCCAATATATATATATATATATATACTAACAATTAAAATAAAATAATACTTTTAGCTATAACAAAATTGTTTAGTAATTTTTAACGTCTTCTAAGTTCCAGAATTATTTTTTTGTTAGAAAAAGGAAAAATATATATATATATATATACAATTAAAATAAAATAATAACTTTAGTATACAAAATTGTTTATAATTTTTAACGTCTTCTAAGTTCCAGATTATTTTTGTTAGAAAAAGGAAAAATTTGTTTTTCTATAAATAATACTTTTTTTTAGATTTCTTTTTATAAAAGAGGAAATTTTGTTTTCAACTATTAAATTTTTCAAAAGCAATTTAATCATTTTCGTTACTTAATAATTTTCGTAATTCAAATAAAATGTATTATATAAATTTTTACAATTTTATCAATATGTAAAGCATTTGATGGCCTTTAAATTGTAGCATTAATTATTGTAATATGCAAATCTTCTAGCTAGCTAGTTAAATTGTAGCACATGGTTTATAACTTAATTTTTTAATAGCAATTAAAAAGATTGTTAAATAAACAAAAAGCTGTAGTCACAAAAACATAAAAGGAAATTAAAAACAATAAAAAAAAAGTGGGGTTAATTAAATAACATCAAAAAGGTCTTTCTTGGATCACTTGTATAGGAACGGATTGTGTTACTGCTTAGATATGTTACTCGAATCCGAACTCAATTATAAATTAAGTATCTGAATCAAATTGAAAATTAAGTATCCGAACTCATTCTAAATCTGTTAATTTAGAAATTTAACTTTAATATCCAAATTCATCCCGAATCCAATTATAGTTACCATTTTAAATACCAGAACCCATTTAACATTAAAAGTATTTTTTTTATTTTCCAAAAATAAAAATATAAAATTATTATTTTGACTTAATAAAAATATAATGGAAATATTAAATATAATTTGTATTAATTATAACTAGAAAGATGTATGTATAATTTTTTTTTCAAAAAAATAATTGTTTTAAATATTTTTAGAATATTAATTAAACAGATGGCAGATATTTGAGTCCTTGAACCTGATACTGGTGATAAAAATACTATTTGAACTCATTTCAAACTCATTTATTCACTACCTAACCCGTAAAATCGGATCGGATACTCATGTCGGGTAAAATTGCGATCCTACTCTCCACCAACTCCTTTTTTCTCAAAGTTGAACATATGTGGATCTGTTAATGGCATAGTTTAGCTTGTGGAGAAGGACTCCTTGGAGACAATGTTGGTAGCTGGATCAAACTGCTCAGTTCTTAATGCAGAGTTTTTCTTGAGATGCCAGTTTCAAAATGGCAAGTTGCAGGATAAAATGATGGCTGTCAGAAGTTTCTTTTGAGAAAAAAAAAAAAATTAGTATGGCCTTAAAACCAGTTTCTTTAAGAAAAATGGGAAAACAAAATTTAGAACTCCAGTGGCCGGCTGATCCAAGCACCTCCTGCTGAAATGTACCATACCATAAGATGTTGGATTTATCACTTCCATTTTTTTTGCTTTCTAGATCATCTTTAAATCAATCTCCAATTTTTACCATTACAATTAGATGTTTATTGTTGTTTTCTGCTTTATAAAAATAATTGATTCTTGGCAATTTTAAGATCAAAATTTGTTATTTTCAATTATGAAAACATCAATTATATAAAGGAAAAATTACAACTTTGTCCCTATAAAATATCGAAATTAACTCGCATATCCTTATATTATGAAAAATACATTAATATATCCCTAAATTTTACTTCTATTAAACTACTTTATCTTTCCATCCATATTTTTTATTATTCTGTTAAATGCTTAAGAAAATGGCAAAAATATCCTAGAAGGATGCTTTCCTTCTTGTTGGCGAAAATACACAAAAAGCGATTATGCCTTCTTTTCCAGTCATTTTTTTATCAACCTTCAATGAACTCCGGTGATAGTAGCCATGAAACCCTCTCATCGACCTTCATTTCTCATTTCTAACATTAATTTTCCTTTTCTTTGGTTTAAAGCTGTGGAATGGAAGATGAAAATAATAGATAGTTGATCATGTTCCAGGAACGTACTCTCTCCGGCGACTTTAAGGGACTAAGGTAAGTTAAAATCGATCCCTCATCACCTTTTGAGTATTTTCCCTGTGTTTATTTGATGCTTTAGAAAGAAATAGCAAAATCACCGTTTAGTGAGGCAGTTGTTGAGCCTATTAAGGCCAAATGCCTCAAAGAAATTTTAAATTGATTGCATATCTTAAATCCCCATGAAATTTCGAGTATGGTGTGTGATTCGTTGCGTTTAGTTGCGTTTTAATTTTCTGAACACTATGTATGGTGGTAAGCACGGCGACACTCCGACAATTAATTTTTTCAAAATATTAAGATGCGTGAATTAATTTTAATATTTTATAGGGATAAAATCATAATTTTTCCTTTATCTCTCTCTTTTGACTAACCTTTTTGTTTTGACTTAATGTGGAAAAGTGGGGAAATAGGGCGAAAGGATAGGATAGTCAAATGGAAGCAAAATATCTATATATCTATCTATATCCATCTATCTATATAAATATATGAAAACTAAAGCAAAAAACTTATGTGGCATAATTCTAGAGTATTAAGACGTTTATATGGCATAATTCTAGAGTATTAAGATGTTTATGTGGCAAAATGCTAGCCTATATATTGAGTTGGAAATAATTTTTTTATATTTTAAAAATTATTTTTAATATAATTAATAGAGTTGGTAATTAATATCATTAACAATATTTTTGGTTTTTAAATAATTAATTAAATTAATAATTTTTTTATATTTTTAAAAAAAGTTCATTTTTAAATATAATTAATAGGTTGGTAATTAATATCATTAACAATAAAATTATTTTTAATATAATTAATAGAGTTGGTAATTAATATCATTAACAATATTTTTGGTTTTTAAATAATTAATTAAATTAATAATGTCATTAATATTTTAAAAACTTTTCACTTTTTTTCTAAAATAATTAATAATATCATTCATATTTATTCTCTTTATCTTCCTTTTTCTACTGTTACAGAATTTATATAGATATCTATTTCAATATAAATGAAACATTAAAGAAAATCAAATCATACTTTCAACAAAAAGAAATCAATTATTTGCAAATAATATAAGATTATTTTTCATGACATTTTATTGATGTGAGAGCTTGATCAATGTAACGATGGTGATAGAATTACAGAATGTAATCAATTTTCGATGATCAACTAAAGTATGATTTTATAATTTATAATGAATTATCTATAACTATTAGCGTATTTGATTCATATAAAAGCATTTTATTTTTTGTTACTATAATTAAGTGTTTGTTTTAGTTCAGCATAATGCCACCTAAATCATAAAATTTGTTGTCAATGCTTTTTTTAAATGAAATTAAAATTAAAATTTATTTTCTAATGTCATTAATCTATGAAATATTCAATAACAAAATGATGTTAATGTTTTACTTTGTGAAGGAAGATGATAGTACTTCTTAACCTATTCTAAATCAGGGCAAACTTTGATGAAATTTTTTAAAAATTTATAATGTCTATTGGATTTATGTCGAGATTTTAGATTATTTATTTAAAATAAATTCAATAACTGATATTTAAAAAGATTATTTTAAAATCTATTAAAATACTTATAAAAATTAGAAGTTTGAAACTTAATTATAGACTTGATTTATGTATATATATATGCCAATATATTGATCCTTTTGCAAGAATCTGTAAAAGAATTTTATTTTTTATTTTTTTTTTTTTTTTGTACATTGGTAAGTACAATATTGGATATTTGAATTCTTAAAAATAATTATTAATTATACTAAAAATAGCAATTTTGTTTCTAAATATTATACATCTACACGCAAAGCGCAGGAAGACGACTAGTAAATATATAATTTTTAAGATCTAAATGCTTATATGACAACATGTTAGAATATGAAAGTGATAACAGGACATTTTATTTTTTCAATTATAGTTAATATCTTTTATATTTAAATAAAATTAAATATTCTTTATGTAATAGTGGAGTTACAATTAAACTAATAAAATTTCAGCTGGAGTTACAAATAAACTAACTAAAATTTCACATTATAAATTCAATAAACTATAATAAATATAATTTTTATTAAATGTTTTTTATTCTAGTAAAAAAAACTTAATGTATATAATAAATATAAAATTTTTATTAAATGTTTTTATTCTATAAAAAAAACTAATGGAGCTATAATAGAGCCATAGTTAATAAAAGTTAATTAAATAATATCATTAGATTAACAAATAGAATTAAAATATTAATTTCAATTTACTAAAATTTATTTCATTGAGATTAAATATTCTAATACTTCATTTAATTTGAATATATGAGACTTTAAAAGAAAAAAAGAATTAACTAAATATATCAATTGAATAACAATAATTTTCTTACAATAATTAATTCTACTAATTAATATTTCAATTCAATATTTGAGAATTTAAAAAAGGACCTATAATTTTACTTTCCATTATTTAATCAAAAGTGTATAAGCAAATTCTTTAAATTAAAGCAACTATATAAATTAAAACAATATTTTTGAAAATTATATTCAATTTAATTAAAAAAATAGAAAACTATACAATCTGCGCATCGCGCAGGTTCAGAACTAGTTTAAAAATATACTATTGTATTTTCCAAAATACAAAAATAAGCGAATTAATTTTGATATTTTATAGGAACAAAATCCTAATTTTCCCAAAATGAAATTATCGAATATTAGTCTTCTTTGATGGCACCTATGTGTGTTGCTTTGAAAACTTTTGTAATTGGTTTATTATCTTAGTTGGTTAGAATGTTATGCAATTAATGTGAAGGTTGTAGGTTAAAAACTTGCATGGGCCATTATTTTTATTTTATTTTAATTTATTGTTTAAATTGATTTTCAAAAATCCATGCCATTATTTTTATTTTATTTTGATTTATTGTTTAAAAATCAATTTAGAGTGAAATTGAAAGAGTATCCGCTGATTGCTAACTTCGTACATGTGGCCCACCTTTTAATGACATGTAATAAAAGACAAAAACAACTCAGATTCACGTGGAATCGATGCAAAATCTCAAAAATGCCCTTAAATTCCCATTGTTCACCTGTCTTTGCAAACCACCATTATTTATCAAATAATTATTTGTCAAAAATATAGATTTATAAAAAATTATTGGAATTTACATGAAGGAGATTAAAGAAAAAAGAAAGAAACTTAAATAAATAAAAGAAAAGAAATTTGAAAGAAAATTTAAGGAAAATAAATAAAGAAAAGGGAAATAAAAAGGAAAGAAAGAAAACGAAACGAAAAGAATAAGAAGAAAACGAAGAAAGGAAATAAGAAGAACAAAAATTTTTTAAAAAAAAAAAAAAGAAAGAAAAGCTCATCTCTCGCTCACCCCTCTCTCCCTGATCGCAAACAGCGATCCTCTTTCCCTGAACGATTCCGACCGCCGATCGACGCTCCGAGCAGCAGCAACCTCGACTCCGGCCATTCCTCAGATCATCGAAGCTCGTTCAACGAGGAATGAGGTTTTCTCCTTTGCGGCGCCACCGTCACTTACGGCAGCCCGTTTTCTTTGATTTCCGGCGAAATCAAACCTTTCCAACAAGAGGTTTGATCATGTAAGAATCTGAAACAAATGAATTTCTCCTTCTCAGATTGTGCTGGTCGTTAGTGGTTTGCAAAGACAAAGGCAATTTTGCCATAAAATAATTTCGAGGGTGAGCGATGGGAATTTAAAGGGATTTTTGAAATTTCAAATTCCATTCCACGTGGATTCCAGTTGTACTTATTTTTTTATTACACATCATTAAAAGCGAGACCCACGTATGCAAAGTCAACAATCCGGTGAAAAAAGCGGACAAAAAACACTTGATTACATTTTTTAAAACGTTTAAATATCCAATTGAAAATGTTTTTCCGGTCAGACTCATAAATAAAAAACATTAAAGAGTTCTAGCACTAAAATTACTGGTATCCCGAAGAATTTATATCTTCTTACTTTTTCTTTGTAGTATTTAAAAACTTGTGTCTTTTGGTAGACACAATTCTTTCACACGTGGATATTAAGCTAAGTAGTTAATATTTTTTTTAAAAAAGAATTGTTTATCATATTTAATATTAAAATAATTAATCATTTAACCTGTCTATGTTACGATTATCGTTACTTGAATCTTGAGGCACGTTACTGATATCAAGGCACGTTAGAGTATGAATGTATGAGCAAACACATTAACAGCTTATTTGGTTCGGTGAAATTCAATTAAATTTCATAATCTATATATTTGGTTTAGGATCCAATTCTATGGAATTAGTTATAACTGAAACCAAATTCTATCAAATTTGAAATGAATTCCATAAAACTAACATAACATTATGCAGCTTTCATCTCATTATAATGTGATCTATAGTAATAAAATAAGTTATAAAGCAAAAAAGCATTGATCTTTTATATCATATAGAAAATTGGGTAATACCTCTACATGCATACATACATACAACTTACATGTTATAACATACTTTTTGAGTGCAATCTTCCGACTGTACATCCAAAGATTACTTGAGACAACATTTTGTTAGCTTTTGCTTTAAAAGTGACAAATAAAGTTAGGTTGTAGGTTGAGTGAGTGAGAGAATGGTAGATACCATCAGCTTGTAATCAATTGGCTTTGTTAGGTAAGCATCCATGCCAACCTCCAAGCACTTGGCTTCATCAGATGACATTGCATGGGCTGTCAATGCAACAATAGGAATGTGTAATCCTGTTCGTGCTTCTGATTTTCGTATCGCCTTTGTCGCTTCGTAGCCATCCATTTTTGGCATCTGGTTTTTCATTTAGACAATAACTCAGAACTCACAAGAAAAAGAAAAACAACCTATAAAATATGAGCACTATGTCGAATCTATATGTTTAATGTTAAAACAAGCAATATGAAAGCATTTGTACTGAATTGCTTCATATATTTCTCTGAAGATAGAAGCATAATTCGGAAACCTAACCTTGTAATGGTGTAAGACTGATGTTTGGTATAAAAATGAAAATGTTCATTTACACTTCTAAAAACTATAATTAATGGAATCCAATGTAAGTAAACCAAGTTCTATTATTTGTAAATAAATTCCATATTAAAAATTCATTTATATCAAACAAGTGATTAATGTCCATGCTTCTAATTTCTTACCTGACAGTCCATTAGGATCAAGTCATATGGATGGGAATCACGAAGTTCAGATATTGAACCTTTGTTTCCATCTTGCAAGAGAGATTCTCTTTTACAATCTTTAGTGCTGAGTAGGCAATTTAGAGCATCCACTGCTTGCAATCCATCTCCCACAGCAATAACTGTCGCCCCCATTTTTTCCAACATGATGGTTGCAACTCTTTGGAGAACTGGAGTATCTTCTGCTAGAAGGATTCTTAGGCCCTCCAAAGCTTTCTGTTGATTCGCAGCTTTGCTCAAGTATGAATCAACTCTCCCTTTAGGACAAGTACTGCTTCCTGAACATTGATCTTTGGTGAATGAATTAGATGTTTCATCTTTTCTGTCATGTGAGTTGTTCTTGGTTCGATTTGTATCTTCCTTCAAATTATTTTCTTCTAGATCCACATCAGTTAATTCAATTAAGCACTTGCTAATTGTCTGATACTTTGATGCACTTGTGGTCCTGCATCTTTCCTTTTGTTTCTCTTCATTGTGAAATACATCTAGAGAATTCGAATTACCCATTTCCGCCATATCTGAATCTTCTGAACTAGCATTGTCAAACTGAGTGGAATCAATTTCAAGACATTCATGCATATCATTGGCATCCTTTGCTATACCTCTCGCAGCATTCAAACTTTTCTTTTGTTGTTCCTTGATAACAGTTTCCAAGATTTGAATCATTTTTGCCTTGTATAGAGGTTTATTGACCATCAGTATGTGCCCTTTCCTTCGGAGCTCCATCTTTATGGCATTGGAAGTATCATGATTTAGCATCCAAGCAAATGTAGCTTTTCCAGAGAACTTGTCAAGGAAGTTAAGTTGTTCCTTCCATATATCTGTACTCAAGTCAAGCAACCCTATATCTACAACAATGACAAATGTGGGGTCTGTAATGTCCTGTATATCAAGAACTTCTGCTTTCAATGGTTCATTCAGAGAACAATGAGTCTCAAATGCATTGTTATGTCTTCTTCTATGAAAGAGTTCCCGAAGAACTTGTGTAAGCTCATTCCACTCAGACACTCCTACAGAGGATAGTCCAATTTTATGCAACCATTGAGACATAATAACTCTACCCATGGAGCCATATAGAGCTAGCAGCACCTACATTACAATTACAAAATGTCAATGCAAGCATTGGATATTCACTTTGGTGAGTGGAATCAACCAAGAACCTTCAGAGTTCTTTGGCTATCTATATATAGTTATATTTAGAAAAAAAAAATTATTAGGGTTTGTTTGTGTGTTCTGCTTGTCCCAAAACACTTATGTTCACCATGTCTGCATATTCTCTTTTCCAATGATTTGATGGGGAATTATTGAAATTAAAATCAATTTTTCTTGATCAGTGCCAAAATGCCTTTATGATATGCACTGTTATTGTAGACAAAGCATTAAAAGAAAATGTAATGAGAAAATTTCAATTTTTCCAGATGGTAAACTTTACTTACTACAACATTATGTCTTGCAAAATCCACTTGGCAATGCTGCTCTGCACCATCAACTGCTGTATTGAGAAGCAAGTAGAGTCGCATTAGAGTTCCTGGTCCATTCTTCTTTACGACTTTTATTTCTCCACCCATCTTGTTAACCTGCCATCACGAAATGGAATCTATTATTGCACTGTCTTAATAAATTTAGTGTGAGATTTGAAACTCAATAAGATCTTAATCTCAAAAAATTTTAAACATGCACCTGTTTGTTTTAAAGTACAGACTTGCATGTTCATGAAATCAATGCCTGTGCTGTGTGCAACGGTGCTCAATGATGCATTCAATTTGCATGCAATAGAATCTTACATGGTTATGGAGTTAACTTACCAAGGTTCGGACAATGCAAAGTCCAAGACCAGTACCACCATGCCTAACAAGGAGAAACGTTAAGACTAGATTAGAATCTCTAGGAATTTTAGTTCTTGAATTTATGTATTGCTTAAGCTGTTTCTTTTAATTTGAGATGTAGTTATATGTCTATTTTGTCAGCAGTTTTATTTTTTCAATTGTTGATAGCTATGCATGTCTTCGCTACTCACAATCTAGTTGTCGAGGGATCAGCTTGCTCAAAGCTTTCAAATACTGATTCCCATTTGGTTGGATCAATTCCTGCAGAATATAGGAAAAATTTTGATATGAATTCTCCTCAGGGGAAAAAAAAAAAGAGCTTTCATAATGTGTATAGATTTTTTGACATTTTAGGTTCATACCGCAGCCCGTATCATCAATTTCAAACCAAAGGATCACTTTGTTTTCTTTCTTAGAAGCCTTCTTCATATGGTTCCCCTGCTGCCTCAATTTAGGCTTAATTGCACACCGTGTTTTCTTCTGATAAAGAGGAAACTTTGTGGTGTCACTGAAAGTACTTAAATTCTCACTCCAACCACGCAGAATAATATGACCAGCTGCAAGCCATTTAAACAAGAAAATTCTGAATACACAAGATACCTATATCCTTTAAATTTCATTTGATAAAAGTTGGAGCTGAATTATTAATTAATATTGGAGTTTGTTCGATGTAATTTCGATACTCCAATCAAGTACTCTAGATGCTAATCACAGGCTTTCATTCTTTTGAAAATCTCTAGTCTCAATTTAAGCAATCTATGTTTTGCTCTCAAAGTTGATTAGCATATAGGTGAAACATCCATGGAACTGACAAATTAACAACTATCGTCAACAAAAAATGATATTTGATCTACAATGGAAAAAACCAAAGAAAATATTGCCCTTACATGTTGTGAACTTGATAGAATTGCTTATGAGATTTGCAAATATTTGCACAACTCTGGCAGAGTCTCCTCGAACTAATTTTGGCATATCATCTATAAAATCAAAACTCATTAGTAGAAATGCATATCAGAAACAGAAAATATTGGTTGATAATCATATTTGTTGACATTTAAACTTGGTCATACCAGAAAGATCCAAAACAGCCTCCACATTGTGGTTAATGCACTGCACAGAGAACATGTCGATAAGTCCTTCAAGTTCTCGTCCCAGGTCAAACTCTGCATCTTCCAACACTAGCTTTCCAGATTCAACCTAATTTTTTTAAAAAACGAAAAACTATAAGATGATATTTGTCATAAGAATTTCAGTGTCAATTAAAGGTAAATGATTTAAGAACCAGTTGCTATTCGTGATCTTGTAAGTAATGTTGTAAAGGAACAAGTGAATAATGATGAAAACCTCCAGAAAAAAAAAAAAAACATGACCTCTATTCGCAAAAAAAAAAAAAAAAAAAAAAAAAAACATGACCTCGTATTCGCAAAAAAAAAAAAAAAAAAAACATGAAACCTCTATTCACATGCGCCAGTAATTAAAAAAAAAAAAAAAAAAAAACATGACCTCTATTCACATGCGCCAGTAATTAATTTTAGGTTCTTAAAAAACTGCATACTGAACATTCGGAAACTTGTTGCAGCATTAAATGTTCTGGTTTGTTTAATAAACAGAAATTGTTTGATTACTTCTATAATTTATAAAACTGCTCACGAATCAGAAGGACTTGGTGGCTTTTGCTAACACCTCACCTTGCTCAGATCTAATATATTGTTAAGAAGTCGAAGTAGAGCGGTGGAACATTTTCTAATCTGAGTAACAGTTGAATATTGTTCATTTGTGAGACAATCATCAGAGATAAGAATATCCAGCAACCCAATCACAGCAGCCATAGGAGTCCTCAATTCATGACTGTAACACAAAACAGGAATAAATGTTTACTTTCCATTTTGGATTTGAAACGTAAATATAATGAAATCATCATCCGCGTTGATTTTACATAATAGCAATCTCAACTTCATTTAGTGTCAACAAAAGCCATTTACAGCCAGTTATCCAAGAAGGATCAACACAGGTAATGGTTCTTTATAGGAAATAACAGATGGTTGTGATTTCTATGCTGCATATGACATATCTGGTTAAGTCCGCAGGAGCATAGGTATGATTTAGAAGCCGAAAACTTTTTGGAGGATTTACTAAACCTAAAGTGGCACGAACTTGCTTTGGTCTTCTATTCCTTAGACACCTTTCCATGGAAACCGGGGAATTGAATAACTAGTTTGGATAGGCAGGGCTGCTAGTCCAGCGTCAGTCTTTATTCACAGGATGGATTATCAATTCGGTTCCATAGTTCGAAACATTTCCTTTGCTGTAGCAAGCAAGTCAATTGTTAGAGGTAAACTAAACTGCTTTCTTCTATGTGTTGAATTTCCTTTCTATTAAAATCTTTCTGTAACTTGTCCCGGGTCTTTTTTGAATCACTCTGGATCTGTAGAGTGAAGTCTCATATGTTTCTCCACTCATAGTTTTAGTCATTATTACATATCAATCACTTCAGTTATTCTAAAGGAAAGGAGACAAGGAGGAAAAAGACTTTTGGCCTTTTAATGAATCTAAAATTTTTGCATTGAACATTTGAGCTCAGAAAATATATGCCAACTACTAGTACTTCATAGATTTTGAAGAAAGTTACCTCATGTTTGCCAGAAATTGGCTTTTGTAGTTATTTGATGCCTCTGCCCTTCTCCTTGCATCAAGATGGCTTATCAACTCTGCTCTCAGTTTCATTTCTTTTGATACTCCATTTGTAAGTATTAATATGCACACACATCCAATGACTAGTATGCACACAGATGCAGAAATCAGTATAACCAAAGTTTTGAAGGCTCTTTCATCTACCTTCCCCATTATGTATCTTCTTGGAATGATAATAACCCCCACCTGCATAAAGAGTATTATCTTGCTAAATGTACAAAATATGTAAGCATAAATGAAAAACCAAAATCAAGAATGTTATTATTCTTCTATAAATAACACAAAGTAAAAGCTCGAATAGTTTAATGCTTACGATAGGCAGTCTCTTTAGATTTAGGAAAAATGAATCAATGTAATATTTTTGGTGGCCAAGCTTTGCATTTTCTACATGAACAATGTGTCCGGGAGGAATCTTGTTTCCGTAGACTCTCTCTAACCACTGAGCTCCCATTCGAATTATGTTATCCTCAGAATCAACAGCCATCATAAGCTTAGGTCCTCCTGTTGAATTTCTTAAGAGTGGAGCATTTGTTGAAGTAGCCAGCAAAAAGCCTTTTTGAGAGGTCAAATATATATGTCCACTATGTACTTCAACAAGTTCTCTCATCAACTGCCCTACGCTAGAAAGTGCAGTAGTAACGCCAACAACAGCCACTATGCTCTTATTTGAAGCATCCCACACAGGCAATGCTGCTGATAGCAATGGTGAATCAGTATACTTGCTTACTGCCACATGCCAGGAAGCTGCACCATCTGGTACTTGAGAAAAGCCTGCAATATTTATAAGATCATCTGGTGGAATTTCGCTTGCTTTTCCAATCTTTTCACCTGTTACAGGATCAAGTGGTTCCCGGAACCAAATAGCTGAAAGATTACCCTGAATGGACTGATCATTCCACCCTTGACGCGAGGACAACATATTTGCATCATAAGGCTCAGTGACACTTATTGAATAGTTTACTAGATTAGAGTAAATGTAAAACGTATTGTTACTCCTATGATCTCTATGAAAAGCCTGAACAAAGCCATTTCTGTAAGTTATAGTTATGGCATTGAGAGCTTTGCGACTTGCAAAAAGTGCCCATGTCACATCTTTCATCACTTGATACAGCTGAAAGGAACAACGAAAAAAACAAATTATAAAACACAAAAAAAAAAAAAAAAAAAAAAAAAAAAAAAAAAAACGACTTGTCAAAAAGGTGCCCATGTCACATCTTTCAATCACTTTGATACAGCTGAAAGGACAACGAAAAAACAAATTATAAATCACAAAAAAAAAAAAAAAAAAAAAAAAAAAAAAAAAAATCCAAGAACCTTTAATTTTTAATCCTGGAACACTAGAAGTTACTTAATTAAACTTTCGGTACTCCCCGCTATTTGGCTTGGCTGACTAGCCCTGGGAGAGGAGATGGGGCAATTCAGCCTATTATCGGAGAAATTCTTTATATAAAAAAAAAAAAAAAAAAAAAAAAAAAAAAAAAAAATCCAGAAACCTTAATTTTAATCCTAGAAACACTAGAAGTACTTAATTAAACTTCGGTACTCCCCCCTATTTGGCTTGGCTGACTAGCCCTGGGAGAGGAGATGGGGCATTCAGCCTATTATCGGAGAATTCTTTATATGAAAGGGGTCAAGCCAACAAACAGGAGAATTCCCGTCTTTCTGGCTGAAGAGAAGAGGAAGGGGAGTCAGGATTTAGGGTAGTTTGCTAACAAACCTCAACTTGTTCTGCTTGAGTAGCTGGATTGCTGTACCGTCTGATTACGTACTCTGACAGCTTAACCTGTGCTGTTGTTATCTCAGAAGTAGAATTCAAAATATTCCACATTCGTAATATGGGACGTTGTAGAAGTTCATAACGAAGGCCATAAGCTAAGGTATCTAATGATCTTTTAGTATACTTCCTTGTGAAATGCCAAGTTAGAATAGTTAACAGCCCAATCAAAATAGCTAGCATGACCTGCATAAAGCCAGGAGGATTGAGTATTGTATTCATTAACTAAAAATTAATAGTTTTCTGGGTACTAAATTAGTTTTTCTATCTGAATGAATTGCAGTTACTCGCTGTAAGCACATAAAATTGAACCAATTGCATATGAAGCAACTAAAAATTCAAATTTTATTAATTACAGTTCTCCATCTTCTTTTATCTGTCATATGATACTGATATGCATACATACATATCATACTCATATATAAATAGAAAATCTCCATTAGCCCAACATGCTGTTGCCTTTACTGCTCCACTTATTCAACTATATTGAATTTCATAATGGTATAACAGAATTTCTAACCAACTAATACACCAGTACAAACACACAGAAACAGATATATAGAGAGAGTACTAACCATAATAGCTAGGCGAACTACAAAAACACTGTAGTAAGAAGAGAGACAATGAGTATTTGAATACTGAAACTCATCTCGTTCAACATCTCTATGGAAAATTCTTCTAACACGAGGAGGAGTGTTCTTTCTCCAAGAAGGAGCCAAACCAAGAATTTTATCAAACACCTTCCTTACAATAGAACAAGAACAATCCATTTTCGCCTTTATAGTAGGAGAACTTTCAGGACTTGGAGAATAGCTTCTATCGGCTTTTATTTCTGCCATTCTGAAACTAAAAAAAGTATATCATATCATTTAGCAAGAACTTATGCTGTTCTTGTTTTTATGTGTATAATAGACTGAATCAAAGACAGAGAAAGAGAGAGGGAGGAAGAGGGAGAGAGGGAGAGAAACAGATGCTAAATTCTATATGTGATATTTGAGTGGGTTTTTATATATTAATATGCTAGTTCATGTGTCATTCCCCACTTTTTCAAGGCAAAAAGCACAAGTTCTTGCCATTTTCAAAGTGGGGAAGGAAGAGTGATGTTTTATTCCACAATCCATAACCACAACAATCTTGCCACATATCTCTTACCCTTTATTCATTTGTCTTAACTAAATTTAGCAGTGACAAAAAGATTCAGACTTTGAGAAAAAGAAAATGGTGAAATCATTTGCTTTGACATTGCCAAGGCCACTCTTTATTGTCCTGGAAATTTTCTTGGCCAAAAAAGAGTTGCTGTTTGGGACTTGGAAATATACTGTGGTGGGCAGGTTTTGGACCCACAGTTTCTTGTATTTTTAACAGGTTTGAGAAATTGTCCTTAGAACAAACTTATCCTAGGATTGAGGTGGGAACTGTTCCTTAATCTAAGGGGAATGTTGAAGAGCCAAAACTAATTAATGTGACAACAAAGAGAATGAAAACCCAATACTTGAATTCATTCAAAAAAAAGAAAATGTTTTCAACCTTGAATTGGAAATATTTATGAACAATCTTTGAATTACTTTCAGGTTTGAATAAGCTATGAAATAGTTACCTTGTTACTATCATCATTACATGAAAGGTGTACTCTTAAGTTGATTTATCTGTTAGCTGTTTTAGTAGTGTTTTTACTTATTAAGTGTGTAATTAACTTTTCATAAAATGCTTTGCTAGTTCAAACGTACGCTGAAAGCTACTTAAACACAACCTAGGACGCCTAATGAATCGGAATAACAGAGGGTAGTCCTCTCATTTGAATAACATTTATCAAATCTTTTGTGGTGAAGAGAACTCTAGCTCGAGATCTCTCACTCAATACAAGTAGGAATACCAACCAGACTGTACTTGACTGGTAATTCAAATATTAGCTTTATTTATTCACCAAATGCATAATTCACCATTGTACTTCTGAAAATCTCATGTCACGTTTAAAATTTACTTTAATCTATTAAATACTTTATAAAACTATTTTATTATACGTTATAACTTGTAAAATTACATCAATTAATTAAGTACTTGATGATTAAAAATTGTGAAAATTGTTATTATAAAAATTGTACAAACCACATTAATATATTTTACATATAAAAATCAAAATACCCCTATTGTATAGCTCATAATGTTATTCTGGTTCATTGAGCCTCTCATGTATCTAAAAAAAACTGCAATAAGTCAGTCACAAAATTTGAAGTGTCACAAAGTTTTTATAAAATGTAGGATAATAAATTTATGTATTTCATGTTGTGATGCCATTCATGTAGGCATTGTAAATTAACTTTAGCCACTATCTTAATTGGATAAAAAAAAAAAAAAGATGTCTTGCCAACAATTTAGTGATAAATGATTATTTATTTATGTCCTATGATTCTATTTACAAAGGTTTTGTGTATTCTTGGTCCTAAGATGTGGTAAGATTTCTCCAAATTAATATTTACATACACAAAATCAGCATAGTGTTCCTCCCAAGAATGTTTGAGAGCCTATCTAATTTCCATTTATGTACCAAAAATTGGAAATGTGTAGTAATGCATTTTCATACCTACATTTGGCTACTATTTAATATGTCACGGCCAACTTCAACCACTAGAAAAATTGTCCACTTTGGATCAAGTCAATTTCATCCCATATTGAATTGACAAGACCCGCACGATTTTGTTCTCAAGTGAAAGAGAGAACTTCCCAGGTAGTCATTCTGTCTTAGGATTTTTGTTAAGCGAGCACGCTTAATTCTGAAATTTTTCCAACTCTCCAAGTCATTCCACTAAAAGGTGCATCTGATGATTAGTTTTCTATTTTCGATATATAATCTGATTTATTATTGTGTCCGCATTCCTCTACCCATAGCTAGCCTGTCATCCTAGAAGCTAGTCAGGAGCTTTGCTCTACTTGCCTTCTTTGGATCATTTTGCTGGGTCGTCACATAATAGATTATATTGAAATATTAGTTTAATAATCCAACTCAAAATTTTAGGTAAATCCAACATTTTAATTTCTTTTTTCGTTTTATTTTAATTAACGATGTATGTTTTCCAATCATACGTGTAATAACACATATATAAAGCTGAAATAAATATTTTTTTTTTAATATAAGAAAAAGAAAGTTACAATTTGGATTTATTTAGCATTCTATTTTTAGGAATTTTTGAATTATTTTTTCTTCATTTTCTTGTATTTTGATTAGAAGGTATCTTTTTAAGTTAAATATTGAAATATCTATTTTATTGGTTTTAATTATTACATTACTTCTAATTAAAAGATTTGACACTCCACGGTCTACTGTGAATGTTCACTATGATTCGAAAGACTAAAAGAAAAAAAAAAAAAAAAAACTGAGCTGTAAGGTATCTTTTTAAGTTTTAAATATATTGAAAATATTCTATTTTATTGGTTTTAATTATTACATTACTTCTAATTAAAAAGATGTTTGACCACTCCCACGGTCTACTGTGACATGTTGCACTATGATTCAAAGGACTAAAAGGAAAAAAAAAAAAAAAAAAGAACTGAGCTGTAAAAGGTAGTGTTTAATGCTTTTCTTATAAAAAAAAAAAAAAAAAAAAAACTGAGCTGTAAAAAGGTAGTGTTATAATGCTTTTCTTATTTTTGTTGATCGGTTGCATGGTGTTTATGTTTAGAGAGAATTAATAGATCATGAAACATTATTTCTCTTAAAGTATAAACCAAATATGGCATGATCATGGTTCTATAATCGCTGGTTCCAATTATAAAAAAGTGGAACTAATTGAATTGCTTTTAGGCATTTTTTTTAAGATGATTTTGGAACCGCCGGTTTCGGTTTTATATCAATTTTGAACTGAAGTTAAATAATATATTTTAAACTTTTTAAAATATTTTTTTAAGATTTATAGCTTGGATAAATAATAATAATAATAATAATAATAATATCACTATTGAAAAATCTAAACCAATTTAATAAAAATTACTTTAAAAGACTATAATAAAACAAATAAATAAGTTGGAGTTTAAGAACACGTTTTTTTACGGGTTCAGACAGAAACCGTTGGTTTCGATTTCAGAAAATGAAAAACTGGAACCGAACCTTAAATTCACGGTTTTAATTACACCTTGGAACCAAAATCCTTGACTACAGTTTAATGTCGGTTTTGACTGGTTCAATTTCGATTCGCTTCCAGTTTGAAACAAACCATGGTCATCCCTACCAAATAGGTCTTGAAATTTTGTTTAGCCCCTCCTAACTTTATTTCCTAGTTCTTTCAGTAATCTTAAATATATAGTATTCCGAAGTAAGTTGGTGTGAATTTTGATGGTGTTATTAAAGGGAAAACAAAATAAAAAGAGGATCATCATGCTCATCATATACAGCTTATATAACTGGAATTCTGAAGAGTTTGGAGTCGAGTGGACTAACCACTTTGAAGAATGATGCATATGACTTTGAATTCCAGGGAAAAAATAAAAAAGACAATACCTTTTTCTTTCAACTGTGAAATATGAGAAGGGTCATTTTCATTTGTTATGATGGTCCTTTTGGAGAGTCGGTTTGGTGGAAATGATGTAGATTTGTGCTTCTATGACTTTGAAACTTGAAATCCCAAAAAGAGAGATTGAGAAGATGCATTTTTGTAAGCTATATGTATGGAATAGAATCATCTTCAACCAACAATGTAAAATGGGGTTAGAATAAAGTGTAGAAATGATAAAGATGAGATTTGTAGCCTTTGAGGGAGAACAATTTATTAGATTTATTTTAGATTTTGTTTACAGTAATGATTTCTCCTTTTTTTTACAAAAAAAAATATATATACGAATTTCATTCTTCAAATAATTTGTACTTTATATTTTAGGGCTTGTTTGATTCACATTTTTCTTTTTTTTGTGTAAACCTCTAGTATCTAAATTCTATCACTGGGGACCGCCTCATCCGACTCAGAGTTAAAGCTCTTTCAACAGAGACTGCCTAATTAAGGCTCTTCGCCCCTTTATACAGCTGTATTTAGTAGGGATCGAATCCAAAAATTCTTCCTACATATCTAATCTGCATTGCCAACTAAGCCACAACTTTTTTAATGTATGATAATAAATAATGAGTGTTGAGTCAAAATATAGTCACATATAAAATTACCAATATAGATATATTTTATAATAGATTTAAATTTACATCATCTATATATAAAAACTAATAATTTATTGTGGATTGTAATGTTTCTTTCTCTCAATCGATTGTCATCAACTCTATTATATAAAGGTGAAGGAATATATATTATGCATTACTTGAGATGAGATTTTTTTTTTTTTTTTTTATTATGCATTACTTGAGATGAGATTTTTTTTTGTTTTTTTGTTCTACATCATAAAAATATTGGGATATAGTCCTTAAATAAAGGTTTTTTTAACCATCCACTGATAGAATTGGCCTAGACGCTTTTTTTTTTTTTTTTGTTCTAATCATAAAAATATTGGGAATATAGTCCTTAAAAAGGTTTTTTTACCATCCACTGATAGAATTGCTAGACGCTGGCTGGTTGAAACTTCTATCAATTATCAGCTTTTTATTAAAATCATATCGAATATGTTTGAATTTTATAAAATAGCTAAATCAAACGCTCTTTTAATTGCATATATCAAACTTTGTTGACATTAAAAATTTTATATATAGTTCCCATCTGCTAAAGTATTTTGATTTGATGTATAAAAAAAATTATTTGAATGTAAAACATCAAATTTGTAAATGAAATTTAGTTATACATAATCTTTGATTTATAAATGAATTAATTCACCAAATTGTTAAGTGGAATTTTACACTTATAAGGTTTTTTTATGTCACATCAAAGATGATGTTGCATGCATTAATTTCCATTCACTTTATTAAATTCATATCACCAATTTAATTAAAATAAATAAATAAATCATCTTTGTTGAAAGTAGTTTTTCATGTCAACTTGAACCACTATATGTGTGTGTATATATATATATATGGTTGGAGACTTGGATTGAGAATTAGAAAATGAATTAATAAAAAGTAATAGTTAGTGGTGGCTATTTTTTTTTTAATTCATTCAACGCTTTTATAAGCTGAAATAATACTATGAGTTATACAACAGGAGTAGCATTCTCTTGACTCACCAAATTAGTGAAAACAACTTTAATCAAGAGGACTCGAATTTGAGACCGCCCACTCCTAACGTAAATGAGAAGACCAACCAGACCACCACCTGATTAACAAGTAGTGGCGGACATTTTGTTATTGGGAGACATTATTGTAATAAACTTTATTTAGAAATCTTTAAAAAGTTCAAAGATCTAACGGCATGAAAAAGTTGAAATAAAATTCATATTTAGCACGTAATTCTCATGTAATTGTCTTTTACTTTCTAATAAAAAGAAAAAAAAAAAAAAAGAGATTGAAAGAGATTTATAAAACCAATTAGCTCATGGGTACGAATAAAAAAGAATGGATCGTTAGGCACTAAATTTTTATTGGATATTGATTTGGCTCACAATTAATTTTTCAGGTCAATTTAATGCATAAGTTTTGCATCAATTGATCTCATTTTCAATAAAAAAAATTAATTTAAAATATATTTTTTCTTTTTATTTTTCTTTTCCACCTTTGACAACATGATTAGACTTTTCTATTTTTGTCTTTTCGAATTTTTAAAATTTTTTATCATTTTAAGGATATTTAACTAATTTGTTATTGTTATAAAAAAAGAGATAAATTAATCACAAACTTAATTAGAATTTATCATAAATTTATCTAAAAGTTAATTTAATTCTAGACTAAATTAAATATTTTTTTTGGAGAAATCAAACTAGAAATTTTATTAAAAGAAATTGTATACAGATAGATCAATATATTTCTATATTTTGTATATAAAATCCAATAATAAACCAGTTATACAAATAATAAAAAAATATAATATTGACTTGAAGTATATGATCGAGTTGATAGAGTATAATATTTGTGTCATTGGATCGTTTGCTCCACTTAGTGGCTATTAATGATCATTGTTCGACTCCATAGTCTTTTTATAAGTCTTATCCGATCAACTTCAAATTTCTCCCTTCTATTAAAGAAAGACTGTATTTTTTTTTTATTTATAAAACGTCTAAATAACAAAATACTCCAGACAAAATCACCACAACAAATAACTCAGATATGAGAATAAAATTTCAAATATTTTGATAATAATAATTCAGATATATATACATTCAAAGATACAAATCTGAGGATTATTTAAAAAAAAAAAAAGAAAAAGTACCAAATTAAATATTTATCTAAAAGGAAATAATAAGCTAACTAAGCAAGTGAAAAAGAAAGGGTGGTGGTAGTATTATATATGTTTGAGGCAAGTGGAGGGTGGCTAATAGTACTCCATTATTGATTTAAGTTTGGCTATAGCTCATTTGTTATTTAAACAAAAAAAAAAAGAAAACATGCATGTGTGGCTTGACTTGGATTAGGTTGATCCTCTAGAACACTCCATTTGTGACTCACACTTCAACAATCCATCATCATTCAAAACTACCACTTAGAACAATAGGTGAGGTCACATTTTACCACTAAACCAACAATACTTAATGCCCAAAAATCTCTCCACTCCATCTCTACCTTATCACCATTGCCTTGCCAATTCCATAGCAAAGATTATCACCAACCCTTTTCTTTGTTTACACTTCACTAAACATCTAGTGGCACATTTTATTAGTTTTAGAGTGGAAGGATAATCTCTTCATGCAAATTCTGAATTTCATCTATTTTCTCATATACCTATTTAAATTAAACATCGATAATAAATATTGAGAAATATATCGAAAATTGTTTTTTATTTGAATTAGTATCTGTAGGTTGGGCATAGTTTGAAAAATTGAACCACCAAATTGAATTGAATTGAATTCGATCGATTTTTTTTTTTTTTTTGTTTTAATAAACAAAAATTTCAATTTGGTTTAATTTCATTAAACCCCAAAAAGTAAGTCTAAATCTATCAAAATCAAAATGAATCAAATTTAATCAATTTGGTTTTATACACTATTTAATTTCAGTTTAATCCATACATGTATGGTATGACCTTATTTTAATTATATAATTTAATTTTAACATAATTTGTTTGGCTTTTAATTAGATTAAAAGGTTTAAATTAGTCATTAGTATTTTTATTTATCAACCAATCATATGTGGTCCAGTTGGTGTTCCACTTTTGATTTCACCTATTAGATGAGTCTATAGGAAGGTTATCTCGATTTTGCAGCCGACAATGTTATCTTGCTCTATTGGCCCCAATGAATAAAAAAATATTTTTATTTATCACACTAAAAGAATGAACTTGTATCATTTCCTGAATGGAAGCTTTCCATGGATTCCTTGTGCCTATAAGACTTAGACTTGTACAAGTGTCAAAAAAGTTAGAGAAGCAAGATTAGTCAATCATATATATATATATATATATATATATAGTGAAGCACTTAATAAATAGGAATAAAGTAACATTTCTTAAATCAAAAAAGGGACTTTATGTCTAAGAGAAAGGCAAAAATTTTAGGTAAGATGATATTGGTACTAATTTATGAGTCATTACTTAGGTTATCTTGAACATAAAGGAATTAAAGAATCTCAACTAGTTAATTAACTCCTTTTTTTTCATAATAAATAATGCAAATTGAAAAGAACAAACTCCTTATCAGGATCAGACAAAGAATCAAATTGGGGATATATAAGATAAATAGGCACAAATCTTTTTTTTTTTTTTTTTTTTTTTAAGATGATATTGGTAGATAATTTAATGGAAATGTCATTACTATAGGTTGATCTTGAACTATATCGAAGGAATTGTAAAGAGAATTGTCAAAGTGAGAGTTAAGTGTTAACTGCTTCTGTTGTTTTCTGTTCTATAGAAATATAATAATAGGCAAAAATTGTGGAAAAGAAAACAAACACTCGCTTATAGGATCAGACAAAGAAATCAAATTGGAGGATAACTAATAAGATAAGATAGGCACCGAAATCTTTAGGGTTTTGTTTTTAGTTTGTTCTCTCTCTGTTTTTGATAAAGTTGTAATAATAATATATAATAGGATGGATTACACCAACAAGAGCATTTTTTTTTTTTTTTTTTTTTTGATAAATTGTATATAATATATATAGGGATGGATTACACACAACAAGAGCATTTGATTCGTCACTATGTGGCCATTGAGAGAGGTTGTGGTGCATATTTAAAGTGAGAATTTGAAGGAAGAAATTACATCCATAGCTTGTAAGTTGGTGGCTACACTTGGAAGATAAACACCATAGACGTATGTGCCATTTTTAATATATATGGTTTAGCTATTAGGGTCCACTAGCCACCTTTGGCTTTGGTTTGATAAACTAGCCATTTATATTATATGAGATAGACATTTAACCATTAAACAATTAGCTCAATTTCTTAAACTGCAATATAATTCTAAATTATGATTTTTTTTTTGTCAGGGGGTATTTTAGTAAATCTCTTTTAAAAATAGACTCATTGTCAAAATATGTTTATTTTTGTTATTTGGTACTTTAGAACGAAAACACAGATTGCCATAATAAAAGAAACCCACAAAAAGTAGTTTTTCTTTATTTTACTAAGCTGTTTTCTAAGATAAAAGTATTTTAATATAGAAAATAGAAAATTATAAATAAGAAATCAGAAAAAAAAAAAAATGCTGCTGGACAGAACAGCTGCTTGCCCAATAGGGTTGAAATTGTTTGTATTTCATTGGTAAATTTGGATATGATCTGCACTAGATGTTGACCTCACTGCACCATTCAGTAAGTGGCTGTCACATAAATGGTTGAGCTTCGTTGCCAAGAAAATAAAATTCCCACAAGGAGACTATGAATGCAATATCAGGTAGGGATATTTGTTGATGTTGATACAAGAATTAGAATAAAGGCAGTGATAATCTCACCTTTATATAAATATATTCTGAGGCCAAATGTACAAATTCACCTTTCTACTTTTCTATGAAAAATATTATCACATTCCCAAATTTATTATATCCGTAAAATTACGAATTTTAGTAATATGGCACAATTCCCAACATTAGCAGTAATGATTTTTAGAATTTTTGGTTTCTATATATAAAAATATTAATTAGATGTGTAAATGTATAATATTTTGATAATTTTAAAATTTTTTAATTATTTTATAATTTAAAATATGTAACGGATAAAAATAACAATTAAAAATTAACAGTGATGAATGTATGCTGAAAATGAATGGTCGAAACAAATAGAAGGATGTCTTTTCAAACAGTACTAGACAACATGTGCCTACTTTGTTTTCCGGGCATGCACATATAATATATTTATTCAAAAAGTTGGGAGGAAAAATCCTACAAAGAAAATGATGTTTAACCAATTCTATGGGTAATCACTTGAAAAAGAAGAAATATTGCTTTTAAAGGGTGCATGTTGTTGGTCATTTTACGTACAATAGTTTAGGAATTTCGTCCTTTGATCACAAATGAAAATGAAGGCCCAGAAAATGGCATTTGGTGAAAAATAAATAAATAAATAAATGATATCCATATATTTACAGAAATAATCATATGGTAAAAATGGGAGAATGTGGGTTTATAGATTACAGCAGCAGTTGTGAATGTTTTTAATGAAGGATTTCAATCTGTAGTTACTTACTTGGAATGCTTAGCCTTCATCTCAGCAGCAGCAGCTTTAACAGCAGACTTGGCCAGGCTGCTTGGTTTTAATGCACTTTTTGGGTTAAGTGCCTTCCGAAGCTTAAATGCAGCCCATGCCGTGCCAAATGCATGCCCAGCAGCACCAAGACCCTCATTTGTAGCCTCAGCTGCTTGTTCACCATATCTGCAAGAAAGGCATCCAATTTTGTAATTCAACAATTGAATGGTTGTGAACGTTGCGTTCCTTTATCTCCACAAACACATCGCACACCATTCAAATTGAAGCTATGTTAGGGGGGAAAAAACACAGTAAATAGAAGTCTGCTGCCGGTGCCAACCAAATTGAAGCTCTCCACAAACACATCAGATACCCATTCAATTGCAAACATTTTCTAAAGCATATATGCATGCAAGAATAACCTCCCTTTTTCCCATTCAGAGCTTAATTTTATTCCAGTGAAATCCACCCATGGGGGACTAGTTCAGTTGTCATAACAGATGTGTCGACCCGACAATCCTTCCAGCTATTTTGAGTTTCACAAATAGAAGACCGAAGATAAAAGTGAAATTATTCAGAAAATTTTATGGTCCTCAATAGTCTAATGCTGCAAAGCTATGGAAATATATCTGGCCTGTGAAGAGGAGGATCCATGGGACAAAAAATCGTGTCAAGCAAGGATTGAGATAGTTAATATTTGGCAGCTACTAAGAGTCTTAGAAGCCACATATGAGGCGATCAGATTAAACATTAAAACGTAATACCCTGTCCTAAGTAAAATCAAGGAAAAAGAAAGGCAAGTCTGTTTCAACCTGTATCTAAAAACAATGTTTATTACATAGCAACTTCAGACACTGTAATGTTAATGCTTTAGGCGAAGCTAGCATGTTCTTAGTTCACAGCTTAATCAACCATCTTACTCTCAATAATTTCTCAAAAAGGAAAGTGAGAAGGAAATGACTGACCTAAGCAATAACAGCTAAATGTATTATATTCAAAGATATGAAATTGCATTACAACTTGATCATTTGGAGATTTAAACATGATTAATCTACCACAATTCAAAATAAGTATCAAACACAATTATGCCTATTATGTCCCAAATCTAATATCAAATTTGATGCGGGGCCTGGAGAAATCAACCAACCACGCAAACAAGTTAAAAAATTGGTCTAGTAAGTGCAATTTGTAAGCCTTTTGACGCAAACTAATTCACATGAGACAAAAACTAGCCACCTTTCAGTATTTATTAATATTTGGCACATCAGTTTGAAACTATCTGCACTATGCACGAGCTAGGTAAAGTGTCAACTGGATATTTAAAGAAAACTATAAAGTTTCCTATTTCATGTCCAGCTGTAAGAATGCTGATGTGAACCACCAATCAGTACCAGCTAAATTATGAAAGCCAGGTTTAAAGGCCAAGGTTAAGTGGCTGTCAACAACATCCCCTAAAAGGTAAAAAGCTAGTGTGAACTGGCTCCAACCTCCCCAAGGCTCATATATATATGATGACGTGTATTTGTTCCTTCAAAGGTATTGGTAGAACGGATTGCCCCTACAAATATATCTACATGTTGTTCCGGACAATCTTATTTTTTGTATTTCTCCCTTTCCCTTACTTTTGTTCTCTTTGCTTTGTCTTCCCTTTCAATTTTTTCTGCCTCAGAAGGATGCATTTAGTACAAAACATTAATTATTTAACTTTGTTGGTTACCAACTGTGTCAGCATCAAGCTAACTATACCTGTGGTTGACAAGTTCAGTTGTCACAGTAGATGATGTAGCCATTACATTTTTTCCAGCTACTTCCACAGCATCACACACTTTGCCTATTTACAGGAAAATAAAAGAAGATTATAATGAAGAATATAGAAAGATAAAATACAGACAAAGGAACAACTAATATAAGTCCAGTCCATGAAGCATGCGAATAGAAACATTGATGTTTGATCAAAAGAAATCCAGTGCTGTATCAAGTTATTGACCAAACAAAAACACTTATTGCAGATTCAATATATGAAAAGAGAAAGGGAAAAGAAGAGCTGAAACAATATGCACATGAAAGAAACAGAAGAGGGAAACATAGAATCAAATACCAATTAATAATGACCACCATCTGACAACCAAGAGTTTTCACATACTCAATAGGCATATACATTTCAAGGATTGAAATAACTCCAGAATTATAAAGAACTAAAACAAGAAAACATTGTAGTGCTATGGCATATTTAAATATTAGCGTTCCTCCTGGTTCAGATCTCGTCCAGGGCTGTAACCACTGGGCTAAATATTTTTTTGGATGGCTCAAGCCCAAGTTCAGTGCAAAAATTTTTTGAGCCATTTAGCCTAAATGCTAAGCTCACAAATAGTTCTAGACAATATACTTGACTTATTTTTTAAGCTATTTGTTTACATATATTAAATTTATTAAATCTAATTTATCGACTTATCTTCTAACATATGTGTTGCCATAAAAGTGTTAAATTTGGACTCTTTCAAATAAATTTATAAACTAATTGCAAACATAACTTTCAAGAAATAAAGAAATTAAAAGATATAATAACCACGTACTGCAATTTAATATTACAAGAATTTGATATAACATAATGCTTTAAAAAACTCATACTAAGAATAGGTTTTAATAAAATTTTTCAGGCCAGGCTTATTCAAGCTCATAATTGAGCCCAATCCAAGTTCACAAAAGTTTAGCCCATAAATGTTGACCAATCCAGGCTTTTGGACTTCCCCAACCCAATTTACAGTCCTAAATCTCATCTGATGAACTTTCACCAGTGAGATTCCCACTTCTGCTATGTTTAATGTGGTTTAACTCAATAGTTGGCTCAAACATTAAGCATTTGACTTCGACTTCTAATAGGGGAAAAAAGAAAGTTGCCAAGAATATAGTTACATATCAGCTACATAAGTTCTTTAGCACTGGATTACTAATCAAAAATTTCCATTATTATCGAACTTCTTGGACCAATGAAATTAAGGTTTTAATATATTACTGCATCAATTACACATCCCTCGACCTCCAACGATGAGATAGGATGGCAAGGATCTCTTCTCTGTTAACTAGAGATCTTGAGTTCAAACCCTGGGTTTGGAGTCCCTTTAAAAACTCATGAGGGAGAGCTTTGCTCCGCTTCGAGCCATGGGTTTCGGATACTGGATGGTTGAAACACAAAAATTATACATCCTTCAAACATCACTTGAGGATGTAATTTGGCTAAAGATTAGAGTGAAAGCAAATCCAGTGCTATCTATTACTCAATGTGCAAAGTCAGATGAAGGGTTCACAATGGGACATACCAAATCCATCCAGGGATGCAAGCACAATCTCCCCTGGCAGAAGCCCAAAAAATTTCTTGCCTGCTTTTGAATTTGCAAGCTTGGTAGTGAAAATTCCAGACACTTTCACAACCCCAGATAGGACGCCATTGGCGACTTTCTCTGTCATTTTCGTCATCTTCTTAACTCTGCAGGATAATAAAATTAAACTATAAGTATGCATTTGTCTCAAATTGAGCAAACATATTGGTGCTAGTATGCTTCACAATCATCCATGGTAGAAGGAAAAGAACACCATAACTAAAATTGCCTCAAGGAAAATGAGTCAACTGCTGCGATATGGGAAACAAATATAGACAAAGAGAAAGACAACACACACCAGTCCAATCTGCCACAATTGAGCAGTAACAATATATAAATAAATAAATAAAACAGAGCATATACGCAATCAACAGTAAACTGCAACTTCTTTTATACCTTCTAATCCTCCTCATGGTGTCAGGACTAATCTCTGACTTGGATCGAGGACTCATCCTTCTCTTCATGACTTCATTCCCCCATTTCAACCTATCCATAGTCACATCCCCACACAACAATATCCCTTTAACCAAGTGCCCTGAACCAGCAGCAATCACCCTTGCTGTAGTGCTACTATATTCCTCCACATTGGGCGCTAATGTAGTCCAATAAGCAGCACACTTCCCCTCCATCATCTCTTTCTGCTCCTCATTCCGCAAATCCGCCGGTGAATTCTCCGTCACAGCCAACTCACGTAGTAATGCGTCGCCGTTAGCTTTCGTCTTCTCTGAAATTTTTTGCACAGTAAAAGAACTGTAAGCCTGTAAAATCCCATCAAACTCTTTCAACAAAGCCTCTTGCCCTTTAGATGCAATCGTCAAACCATAATTCAATAGGTTACTCGAATCATTAACTTTCTTATTTCTACTTTTCTTTTCCTCCTCATCACTGCTCGAATCAGACTCGTGATGCTCCTTTGGGAAACGTAGAGAGAAAAAGTAATGTGAATCGTCTAATTTTACTGCTGCCTCGTCTTTGCCCAGGGGCCATTGAATCTCATCAGCTACTCGAGCAAGAATGGCGACGATATTATCTCCTTGACGCAGGCGAACAATGCAGAGATCGCCACATGCAAGCTCGACACTGTAGTTTTTGTCAATGAGATTCAGAATGGCACCGGGAATTTTGATCAATACTTCCTCAACGGCCACAGGCGGAGCAGAGGGGCTATAGGGATAGTGTTGTACAGGTTCAGGAAAGAGATTTTCGACGAGGTCGTTCATGTCGATTGTAGGGTAGAGGTTGGATGAGGAGGATTGAGAATTAGGGTTTGAGAAGACATAAGAAGGAGATTCAGGGTTTGATTGGATCACTTCTGGATATAGGGATTTTTTGGGATTAGGGTTTTGAGAAGCCATTGTTGTTTTTATCGAAGAGAAACAGAGAGACAGATAACAGAAGGAAAGTGCTCTGGTTTTGATGGAAATGAAAGGGAACGGTTATGGCGGTTAGACTGTCGAAAGGTTATTGAAGATGGTGATGTCCGTGAAACAAACGCGCTAAGTGAATTGAAGTTGAAGGTTCCACGTGGGAACACGGCGCGTGTGAGACAAAATGGTTATTTATGTTTTATTTTTTTATCGGGAACTTTCCGCGCCAATGTTCCGGGTTTTAGTATTCCGTTTCGCCTGTTAACCCAAGTTATTAATTCGGACCCGGCCTTTCTTAATATTCCGGCGCCTATTCTTTGAAATGCAATACGTATATTCTGATGAACAAACTCCATTAATAAATATGTCAACCTCTTCCACTGATTGTTCATGGAAGAAGGAGAAATAGATAAAACTTTTGCAGGAAAAGAAATGGTGGAACCACACTTCAAGTTTAAGATTCTGATAGACATAAAATCAGGAACCATTATATATATATATATACACACTACAACGGAAACCAAGATCACTGTTCATAGAACAGTGATTTTGGTTTCCTTAGACAATTTTACCCCTCCATTATATTTAAATGGATAATACTATAAATTTAGTCTAAATTGATTACTAAGCTTACTTTCATAGTTTGTTGATGCATAATTATAATTTTCAATATACTTCATAAATTATCTAATTTACATCTTATTCAATTGGTTTTTTATTCTTTATATATAAATTTATTAATGACCATTAGTATATTTACCATTTTTCTTCTATTCTTTCGTAATCATGCAATTAGATAAAAAAAAACTCATTTTAGAAACTCTTAAATTTATATTATTCAACACTTTTTTTAATTTCTATTCACTCAAATGAATTGTTGAATAGGGAAAATAAAATTTATATATAACAAGTTGGGTTACAGATTTTTTTTTTTTTTTTTTTTTTTTTTTTTTTATTCTTTACTATATAAATTATTAATGACCATTAAGTATATTTATCGCATTTTTCTTCTATTCTTTCCTACATCATGCAATTAGATAAAAAAACTCATTTTAGAAACTCTTAAAATTTAAATATTATTCAACACTTCTTTTAATTTCTATTCACTCAAATGAATTTGTTGAATAGGGAAAATAAAATTTTATATATAACAAGTTGGGTTACAGATTTTTTTTTTTTTTTTTTTTTTTTTGAAATAAGAATTACCTTAAGTTTTGATTTTTTTTTTTTTTTTTTTTTTTTGAAATAGAATTACACTTAAGTTTGAAATTAAAAATAGCTCACCTTCAAAACTTAAGGACGCCCGCGATAGAATAATATCATCAAAAAAACAATTTTTTTTTATAGATTGTTTAATTATTTTATTAATTTTTATAAATTTAGAAAAATTTAATATTTTCAAGTGTCTAATCGCGAGTGAATAAGCTCACTCCAAACAATTCAACTTAGTCCAAAAATGATAGGTAAAAAAATTTGAAACCAAAATAGTACAAAATTCACAAAGAACAACTGTTGCTTCTCTGGAGATTGGAGAAAACACCATTATCTGCATATTCTGCATATAGTCAAGAACAAAATTCACTATAGTTATGGTCTCCAAAATTTCCATTCTCACAATAGGCATGTCAAGATTGTCTTGTCTCTCTAAGCTAGGATTAGGGTCTCCAAATCATGTAAAAACTTTAAAGCACCATTATCTGCATATTCTGGAGTTCTCTCTAAGCTATGGTTAGGGTTTCCAAAATTTTCATTCTCACAGTAGGCATAATCAAGATTGTCCTGTCTCTCTAAGCTATAGAATTAGGGTACCCAAATTTCTCATTCTCACATTAGGCACAGTAAAGATTGTCCCGTCGCATCTTCTTTGATTCGCCGTTTCCTTCTTCTTTCTCGGCAAAATAATTTCTCTTCTTTCCAAGTGCATGCTTGTTATAGATTCTACAAAGAACGTACTCTCCCTTACGCTGCAAAATCAATGAACTAAAATTAGTATTTCCATCAAACTAAAATTACAAAATTTTAGAAATAAGGGCTCAATTAATTATAAACAGAAAGAAACCCTAAAATTAAAGTTATAAATGAAAAGATTTACTCACCCCTTCATCTTTGGATGAGAACTCGGTCATTAACCAAAGGCCGTTTTGGTTTTTCTTGTCTGTTTCTTCAAATCTAAATTGTTTTTTCACATACAGAATATTACCGTCAGAATCAAGAATTGGTTTTCTGTTTTGGTTTCTCCAAGTTCCTGAGGGCGTTCTTCTATCTCTTCTCTTATCGGTCATCCCCTTCAACTTGGTGAAAACGTAGAAGAATCCAGTTAACTGGCTGTGAAAGATATTCCAGGGATCATCATCATAAAGTGTGTTTGGATGACCATCAATCGTCTTCACCACATCAAGGGTCAGCGTCTTCTCCAGCTTTGCTTTAAGATAATAGAAAACGAGTTCTTCATCTGTGGGATCGAAGCGAAACCCACATGGAAGCTCTGTCGCCTCCGCTAGCCCTGATGGCAAAATCAATGACCTTGCCGCCATTTTTCTCTCTCACTCTCTTAATCTTTAGGCCATCTCACTTTTAGTCTTTCTGAGGCGCTATCAAGATACTAAATTTTTACACCGAATTGAGCAGTTATACTTATATATAGGCTTGTTGGGTGTCATCTCAGGTTAATATTGTTATTTTTGTTTTACTCTTTTTGAGGCTTATCTTTCGCTCCTTCTTTTTTTTCTTTATGTTTAATAAATTTAAAATTAAAATTAAAATTAACATTTCATATTTATATTTCGGATTATATTATAAATTTGAAACAAATATTAGATAATTTCTAAAGTCAATAATCCAATGTAAACTATGTTAATTGAACCAAACTATATGTAAATACTATATAAATACTAGTTGTATACCCATGCTATATACCGTTTTAGTAACATACTTTTAAATTTTAAATTTTTTTTAATTAAAATATATGAAATTATTTGTTTAGAAATCACAAAAAATATTACTCGTTACTTTACTTTTTTACTGACTTGTTTACAGATTTGGAGATAAAAAAATACTTATCACTGAAATGAATTTTTCTATAATATTCAAATTATTTTTTTAATTGAATGATTACATTTTTTATATTATTTAAAATTAGTATTTATTGAGCTGAGCTTCCTTCTTTTCCATTTAGTCAGAATTATTTAAAATTAGTATTTATTGAGCTGAGCTTCCTTCTTTTCCATTTAGTCAGAATTATTTAAAATTAGTATTTATTGAGCTGAGCTTCCTTCTTTTCCATTTAGTCAGAATTATTTAAAATTAGTATTTATTGAGCTGATAGTATTTATTGAGCTGAGCTTCCTTCTTTTCCATTTAGTCAGAAATTAATTATACTAAGTAAGTTAAGAAAAGAAAATAAATGTATAATATTATTTCAATTTTTTTTTAGTTAAATAATTGTTATTTCTTAAAATAAGTCATTTGTTTATTTAACTATTTATTCCTTATATTATTTGCAATTGATATTTACTAAGTAGTTTTCATTTTTCATTTAATCACAAATTAATTTTTGGATGAATATTTTGAATGAATAGGATAACCGTGATGCATACACATTCTTTTTCAAGCTTTTGAGTAATTTGTTTTATTCATTTAGTTAGAGACTAATTTTATTAAATAAGTTATTAAAATAAAATAATGAATAGAGATAATAATATTATACATATATGGTTTTAAAGTCTTTGAATAGTTTTTTTCTAGCCATTTAATAAGTTATCAAGAAAACAATTAATATTATTCAATTTTTAAATATCATGTTGAATGAATATAGATTCTCAAGGGCATAATCTAATTTATTAACTCTTATATGGCATCACCAAACTCAAGTAATCTTGCTTGGCACTCTCTAAGAAAAATCATGCCTACTTTATGTATATATATATATATATATATATTAACTGATAGTATATATATATTGACCTTTTAAATTATGTTTTAAAGGTGGAATTTATATATATATATATATATATATATTGACTTTTTAAATATGTTTAAAGGTGGAATTTAGTTTAATTATAAATAAATATATATAAACTAACTCAAACTGAAACGAGTAGAATTGATAGATTTGAGTAGATTATTTTTTATGAACTATCTAATGTAAACCTATGATAATAAATTAAATTGAAAAAAAAAAGCCTAAAATATAAACTTTTTATAGAAAAACTGCACATAAAAGGTTTAATTATAAATTCTTTACTTTCAAAAATTTTATATTTTAGTATCTCAACGGAAAATATTTACAATCATATGTTTAAACCCTAAAAAAAAATTTTCATTTAGATATCTCCGGCTAACCGAAAATATAAATAGAACAGGATGTTGCACCAAGGTAATTTTTTTTATTTGTTGACGTGTATATTTTAACACCACCACTTTCAGTTTTCATTCTCTCTACACTTCCCCGACGAAATCGCAGCTCTGCAACAATTCTCAAGATTTCTTCGATACGATGTTCATCATCTCCAACACTGCCCATGGACTAGCACCAAAAGCGTGTGGTGGTGTGCGATGGCAACGTGATCGTGGTATGCACAATTTACTTCTTAGCAAAAAAGGTGTCACCGTCACGCTTGTGGAGAAATCGGTTGTCTCCGGCTTCCCATCAAACACCAACATGTATTTCCCTCTCGCTCTTATTCCAAATCAATCATCCATAACAATTCAAAGCAAAAAACTTACTTCAACATGTTAAAAATGGACGTGGTTGTACCAAGATCAGGCCATTAATGCCTCCGCCATTAAAGGAGAGTTCTTTGTCGGCCGAAGAGCTTTTCGATGGAGGTAAAATCGGGCCATATTTCGGATTGTGTGGAAAACCACATCCGTCGCTGATCGTGATTTTTCAGTTGTGAGACCAGTTCATTAAACGTCGGTCTTGGTGGTTTGAGCATTGTTGTTGTAAATGTTTCGTACTGCGGACCCAGACTGGTAAGAAGGCAGAATATTTTCTCACCATCGGGAACAGTTTTCCCAATTGCTGCTAAATTGTCACAGATTTCTTTAAACAATCGCAGATGTTCGGTGATCGACCGATTCTCTTCTTTGCGAAAATAGGTCAATTGCTGTCGGAGGGTAAATTCCCTCTCTTGTGAGTCTTGGGCATATGCATCTTTTAATGCCCTCCAGACGGCAATAAATGCATCTTTTAATGCCCTCGCAGGACGGCATGAACGAGGTCTGTATCATAATCCAGATTGAACAAGGCCAAGCGGAATCTCCTCCAATGTTCCGACAGATCCAACCGGCAGGAGTATGTCGACGCGCACTTTTGAGCCATGTTTTGAATGGATTATCGGGAGATATTAGTGAGTTGGTAATATTTCAGACGGGAATTGGGTTGTGGTGAATTGAAGTTACTGAATCTTCAGGGAAGCTGTTATCAAAGAGATGATCAGATAACCATCCTGGGCTATGCCTAAACAGCTAAACTCAAAACTTGTTCTCTCCAAAGAGGGTAGTTTGTTTGTTTTAGTTTCAGAGTGACGAAATTTGCAACATTCAAGGTTGAAGAAGTCATGGTGAAAGGATCGTCACTTGCTCTGATACCACGATGACAAAGTGAGAAAGACGTAGATTGCAAAAGAATATTGGATTTTTTTTAATATATCTTAAAGCAGTACATGTACGACTTTAAATAAGAAAACTAATAACAGAAGTTGCCGTAGAATAGGCGTGAATAATGCAAAATATCACCAGTAAGTGAACTAATCACCCTAAGAATCCTAACCACAAGACTCATTCAATTATAATGTATTTAAATAATTAACCCTTATCCCTCCAATACTCAAGCCTGCAACACAGCAACCTTATCCCTCCGAAGGGGTGAAAATATCCTTATGACTCCCTGAGCTAATAGATACCAAGATAACAAAGTAGAAAAGAAAGAGTTTTAATAGAATATAATCTCTATTATATCAAACTTACAATATACACGCCACTTAAGGAAGAAATAGTGGAAAATATCACTAGTAAGTGAACAAATCACCCTAAGAATCTCAACCACAAGACCCATTCAAATAAATAATATTTACAGAATTCACCCTTATTACTCCATTACTCAAGCCTAGACACATCAGCCTTATTACTCCTGAGGGACATCCTTATAGCTCCCTAAACTAATATTAAATACTTCTCCACGATTATAGGTAAATGAGACACGTCTACTTTCGTCATCGAGGTCACCTAGATCACTAATGGTTCGAGGCAAAAAGATTATTAGAGAAGTTTTTTTCACTGAGGAAGAAGAAAGTATCAGATTCGTTTGGTAAAAATAGCTGAAAATACTCGAAAGAAAATTGAAAATTATAGAGGAAGAGAGAGAACTTTAGGATTAGGATACAGTTCAAGCAGTAGAGGAGCAAGATCCCTTTCTCAATATAGAGTTTCTGAATATCCATGGAAGAAGAAGAAACAGAGTTACAGGAACTCGCTAAGAAAAAGAAAGTAACGGAGAGATTGTTGAGTTGTCCACTAACAATAACTAATAACTGGTACAACTCAATATTCTTTTTCCATGTCGGCAAAATATCTTGGTATAACATCCTATCTTATTTGTATTTTTAGCTTGCCACGCGAATAGAGACATCCGATTGAAATTTTTTTAAGTTTAAATATCTGATTGTAAATATTTTCTATTTAAACATTAAAATAGAAATTTTTCAAAAGTTTAGTTGTTAAAAATCTATAATTAACCCCAAATGAAAAGAGAAATTATAGTTTTAGTATAGACACTTTGAATCCTTTGATTTCAGCTGTGATACAGAACCTTTCCATAATCTATACATTGACATTACCAAATGTGACTTTGAAAATGGAATAATGGATAAAAAAAAATCAATACTTGTGCACTCGATAAGCAATTTATATTTTTAATTTAAAAAATGATTGGCATTACATTGGGCGCACTCACACATATATATAATAAATATTTCAAAAACATTTAATCAATCGAGTAATTTTACAATTTAATAAATTTATATTTAATCATATAATTTATGTTTAATCATTTGAGAATTCATCTATTATGCAATCAGTTCAATTTTGAGGCAGCAAGTGCTTTTACAGCTGAGGAAGAATGAGGATAAGTGTGATAGGGTAGTGAGCAACAAGACTGCAAGGATCTTGTTATGTAAATTCTTCCCTCTTTCCTCAACTTTGATCTCACTATCTGGTTTTCTAATTTTAGAGATTTTGGTTTTTATAGTTAAAGAAGAAAAATTATTTTGGGATATTCTATTACAGTATAAAATAATTTTTGTGCGTGATATACATGCACTTGACCCAAGCTAAAATATGAATGTTTTGAACTAATTTGTTTAAGTTGCTGATAAATTTGACAACAAAGGTCATTTTTGTTCACTTTGAATGAAAGTTTGAAGTTCATGGCTCTAGGAATGACAATTTAACCCGACCGATTCGATTTTTGCGGATTTGAATAGTGTATAAACGGGTGGGACAAATCTTGATAGTGATTTTAAAACCCGTAGTGATTTTAGTACCATATCGGGTTCAGATAAGATTCGGGTACCTCATTACCATTTGATTTAAATCAAAATTTTTATGATAATTAGCATAATTAAACCCATGACCTCCTAGTAACATTTAAACTTCCTTACTACCAAGTTACTTAACATCCTTGTGAAAGAAATATACATAAAATATATATTACTTGTAACTATAGTTATTTACACTTTAAATATTGATTAATGAATAAAATATTTTTGGATAGTAATATAATCTTATTTAAAGTAAGTTTTAATTAAATACGTATATTAAATTATAATATCTTAATAATTTGAATTTATTTTCATAAAATGCATTAATATATATATAAAATATTATGTCTTATTAATTTAATTGAATTTTTTAGAGTTTGGTAATTATGAAATTTATTGAAAATAAAAAGTTATTATTTAAATAAAATGCTAATAATGTTATAATTAAAAATTTTTAAAGCTATTTATCAATGTCATTATTGAACTTCTAATGATAATTAGTATAATTAGATCTTAATTTAAAATATGATTTATGTGAAATATAAAATCTAGATATATGTTCAGTACACTAGAATATGACTAGTACCCATATTGTGTGCGTTGTGGTGGTCTCGTGAATTTTGCTGTGGATCTCATAAAGCTTCCTGTTACAATACTTAAACGGTTTATTGATTAGACTCCTTGTTAATGCTCGACGAGCCATTTATTAGATCATTTAATTATATTTTTCCTTATTAGTTATCATTAATAATTTAATTCTGTAATCTTATTAGACTGGTTTTTATTCTAAATTTCATTTATGTTAATTTAAAATAATAAATGCTTTATTTTTTAAAAAAATAATATTAGTCTTTGAATTAAGCATTTTTTTATCATTTTTTTAAAAATTATTTATACTTACAAATCCTATATTTTTAATTTTTTTTCAAAAATTTATTTCAAAATATTATATATAAAAATCCAGTCAAACCGCGTCCGTCCACCCTCCTTCAGTGAATCCATATCTTCATGGGTTCAATGACCCGTGTAGTTTTTATAACATTGGCTAGTATTATAATAATAATAATAATTCTCAAAAAACAAAAAAAACAAAAAACAATAAAAATAATTATTTTACCATCAACACGACGTAGTTTTGATCTATGAGGTTTAAAAGGATCCACAGATAAAACTACGTCGTTTCAGCTTAGGTTGCATTTTAACTTCTCTCAAAGTCAAGCGTCCTCGTCTCTCCCTACTCCCTGCGCCGCTCGTTCTCTCCTTCTTCAGCCACAGACCAGAGTCTTTCTTTATACCTTGTCGTCGCTTTCGTTCTTTGCCGTCGCCTCCGCAGCAGTCGTGCTCTTCAAGCGTACAAGTGCCAGGTTCGTTCTAGATTTTTTTTATTACATTCTCAGTTTTTTTTTTTTCGTTTTGCTTCGTCCCTTTTCCTCTTTCTTTTTTATATAAATACATGTAAACAGACAAATAGGAGGAATTGTTGAATTAATTTGTGGGTTATTAATTTGTGGGTTTCAGCCGAAAGATTATTGGTTTATTGTTTTATTTTTTCGTTTTTTGGGGTTTTGTGCCATGTTTTATTTGTTTAAAATAATATAAATTAAAAAGACAAAAGCGATGGTGAATATAAGCCAATTCGAGCCAATTCGTGGCTATATGAGTGAAATTTGACATGTTTGGTTTGTTAATTCAAAGTTTGGTTTGTTAATAATGATTAAGATTGTGTAGAGATACTGAGAATGGGATTATTTGCATATACTGAGAATGGTTTGTTAATAAAGTTTGGTTTTCTGCTGCTAAAGTTATATATAAGTTTGGTTTTCTGCTGCTGTTAATAGGCTGACTTGGATAGCTTGAACATGTAACTATTTTAGTCATATTGCTATACTTTGAATTTGCTAGTTTAATTTGCTCCAAGTAAACTGTTGCTTTTTTTTTTTTTTAATTTTTTCTAAACTGAGTTTACTAGTTTAATTTTCTACAAGTAAACTGTTGCTTTTTTTTTTTTTTTTTTTTTTTTTTTTTTCCTGAACTAAGTTTGCTAGTTTAATTGGCTCCAACTAAACCGTTATTTTTGGATAGGAAATTACTAAACTCATTGAATTTTAGATAGCAAATTTATCAAATTATTATAAAAATCAAAGTTCTTATTTATTTCAGATTCTTGATCATGTGCGGGGTCGAATGTTTTTTTGTGCAGAAGAAGATGATGTTGATTGTTTATCCTTGCAATCTTGGTTCTTGAATAAGTGGAGTTCAAGAATTATGTTTGTATTAAGAATATTATGTTTATGTAAAATTTCTTGTGTTTTTGTTGTAGGGTTGTTTAATGTACCTTTTAATTCAGTAATTTCTTTTTTATTGAGATACTTTTTATTATGTTTTATATAGATTCAGTGCTTATTATACGATTTAATTTGTTATAGTTTAGATTATTATATTTTAATTGATTTTTAGTGGTTATTGTTATTATTCTTATTGAATTTTAATAGGATGTTTGATGTCAAATTGTTAATGAGATATTTGGTGTTGAATTATTTACTTAGGTGAATTTCAATAGTATTATTATATTTTAATTGATTTTTAGTTAGTTATTGTTATTATTCTTATTGAATTTTAATAGATGTTTGATTGTCAAATTGTTTAATTGAGATATTGGTTTGAATTATTTACTTAGGTTGAATTTCAATTATTTTATTTTAATATTACTGTTGTTTTACAAGATTACAGGTTAAATTGTTTTATTATTTTGAAGTTGAATTTTAATGCCTTATCATATATTTTTGGTTGCACTTCGGGTTTGGATCTGGGTTTCATGCGGGTAATTCTAAACGGATTTGAGACGGGTCTGAGTATTATTGGTTTATTCCTTAACGGATTCGGGTACTTAAAGTGATAACGGATTCGGGTGGTTTATTTCTAGTGGGTACCCACTCCGTTGCCATCCCTACTCCTCATCTCTCAATCCTTCCATTTCACGAATTGTCAAGTTTCAATCCAAAACGACACCAAAAATTTTAGCTCGTTTTGTATTTTGCAGCTTTTTTTTTTCCCCTTAAATTATACGAGTGGAGTTAACCAAGAAGAAGAAGATGGGGAAGAAGAAAGAGAGGAAAGTGAACGTGTCAGGAAAGCCGAAGCACTCACTGGACACAAACCGCAGTAATGGAGCTAGCAGTAGCTCAACTCGTAGCGCCGCTACCGTACGCCGCCTCAAGATGTACAATACGAGGCCCCAGCGCGATAGCAAGGGGACAATTTTGAAGCATGAATTGCAATCCAAGGAGCTGCCTAATACGCGAATACATCCTGATCGCCGCTGGTTTGGTAAGTTCGCTTTTGATTTTTTTTTGAATGAATCTTCCAAGTCTCTGTTTTACTTAGATTGAGTTGATTGGCCCAATTGCTTTTTATTATGCAGATATATCACTAAATAATTTTTCTTTAAATCTGTTAGAGAGGTAATTTGGGTTCAACCTTTATTGTGTGCTTTTGTTTTAGGAAACACACGAGTTGTAAATCAAAAGCAGCTTGAGTTTTTTCGTGAAGAGCTTCAAAGTCGGATGTCAAGTAACTATAATGTCATTCTGAAGGAGAGAAAGCTGCCACTGTCCCTTTTAAATGACCACCAGAAGGTACGAGTATTTAAATGAGTTTTAACTAGCTTTACCTTTTCTTAAGTGGCTTACATCTTTCATAGCTTGAACTGTCGATATCTTTCATGTTGATGTTTTTTATGTTAAAATTAAGCAATTTTCTGTTTTAGTTGATTATGGGGAATGCAAATCCAATTTTATATACTGCTGCACTTAGGAATTCATCCCTGCTCACGTAAAAGTTTTGCATTAGATGAATTGTTCATTATCTAGTTAATTGCTTGCTTTTAATTATCCATTGATGGACTGCCTTAAACATGAGCTCAATTTCCTTTCATATACATGCTTGCCTCAGATTTACTGTGTAATAGTTGAAACATGCTCTAGCAAGTTGATCTAGAGTTTTTTTTAGTGGCTTCATTTAAAAATTCTTATGCAATGCATGAGCTTTCTTTTAATTTGCTGTTCCATTTCATGTTTTTAATATGTTAAGCAAGCCAGAGTACATCTACTTGATACGGAGCCCTTTGAGGATGCATTTGGACCTAGAAGGAAGAGGAAGCGGCCAAAGCTTATGGCAGCAGATTATGAGTCTTTAGTTAAGAAAGCTGATGGTTCTCAGGGTAAATGAACTAGTTACTTTTCTTATCCTGTGGTAGGGATTTGGCTATCTATGTTATAATTTCATTTGAATGTAATAAGGGGGTTTACCTTTAATGTAGTGCTTAATGCACTTAATACTGTGTTTCGAAATCTTGCAGATGCTTTTGAGACCAAGAATGGTGCTTATGCGTCTGCAGAAGGAGGTGAAGGAGATGGTTTTAGGGAACTGGTTCGGCATACAATGTTTGAAAAGGGACAAAGTAAGCGTATATGGGGTGAACTATACAAAGTTATAGACTCATCAGATGTTGTTGTCCAGGTCATTCTACTTTTCCTTGGTCAAGCGAAATTGCATATATTTCCTTATTATTTGCTCAATCATGTAGGGAGATAAGAGTGGGAAAAATTGATTGAAAATTATTGCCTTTTTTTGGCTACTTTATGAATATGTGGCGTTCATTATAAAATTGGCTGATATGCTTTGTCTCCATTATTGATACGATATTTTCAGGCTTATGTAGATCCAAGTTATGGATATTCCTAAGAAAGTTCCCATTTCAGTTTTCATTTGCATATGCTTTATTGTCATTTGCCTAGGATCCTGTCTATTTCTCTTTCTGGATGAGTTGAAATAAATTCAGCTGGTTGGATAAAGATTCTCAAGTTTTTTCTAATGTTTTATATTACAGGTTTTAGATGCCAGGGATCCCCAAGGTACCAGGTGCTATCATTTGGAGAGGCATTTGAAAGAGCATTGCACACACAAACACATGATTCTTCTGTTGAATAAGGTTAGATGTATATTCTATGTTGAATCTTATCATGGTGAATTTTTCTTTCTTCTGCCTGTTCCCTGAGAAACTATTAGTGAAAAATTGGTACCCTTTTATCCAGTGTGACCTTGTTCCGGCTTGGGCTACAAAAGGGTGGTTAAGAATATTATCCAAGGAATATCCAACTCTAGCATTCCATGCAAGTATCAACAAGTCTTTTGGCAAGGTACTGTATGTCAAAATTAAATTTAGATCCACTAAAGTCTGCATGCTGCAATTGAACAATATTTAGCATGTTAACATATTCATTTTATCATTTGCTTTGAGATATTTTTGTTCCGAGATTTATTTTCAACTTTTAGACATAGTACTAGTTATGGAAAAAATATGGGGCAAAAAATATTTGATCTTTCTACCTTTGACGTTATAAACTTGTATCTTCTATTTGTGTAATTCGCTATATTTTATCAATTTCTCTCTTAGTCATTTTTGTTTAGTATTTTTGGATTCTCTATCCAAATTTTAGCAAACTGATTCTTATTAAATTCAGGGTTCTCTTCTATCTGTATTGAGACAATTTGCCCGCCTAAAAAGTGACAAGCAAGCAATATCAGTGGGATTTGTTGGGTATCCCAATGTTGGAAAATCGTCAGTTATCAACACACTACGCACTAAGAATGTAACATTTCCATTCATCTTTTATTGTTCTCATGAGCTTTTGATGTGAGCCATTTATGTAGTTCAGTTTAAGAATGTAACTTTCTTCTTTTTCAGGTGTGCAAGGTTGCCCCTATCCCAGGGGAGACTAAGGTCTGGCAATATATAACACTAACAAAACGGATCTTCTTGATTGACTGCCCTGGAGTTGTTTATCAGAACAGTGACTCTGAAACAGATATTGTATTAAAGGGTGTGGTACGTGTCACAAACTTGGAACATGCTGCTGAACACATAGGTGAAGTCCTGAAACGTGTCAAGAAGGAGCACCTTGAAAGAGCATATAAAATAAAAGATTGGTGAGTTACCATTCATAACCAATTGCTTTATTCTGCGTAAATCAAGTGAGTTAGTTCTTTTAAATCTAAATGTATTTTTAGAGCATTACCCTTGCCCTCATGTGATGTGCAGCCATAACTAGTCTGGTGCCCAATTTTGCAACTTCAATATATTGTTTTTTGATGATGCACAATATTTTGGTTTGACATCCTCTTTATCTCTCAAAATGAAGACGAGTTTATATAATTCAAATAATTAATTTTTGGGATCAGTACAAAAAAAAATGCTGTCTCACACTTTTTCACTTTAGGGTTTGTGATATATAAATACATATATTCTAGTTTTTAAGAAGGTGCTCTGCATGTTATTTCTACTCGTTGTTGATACTTGTAATTCACTACTATTTTTTAATAATAAATTTAGATTTAAATATAAGTATTCCTAATTGAATTTAAATATTATTCTTTAATAATATTTATCTTAATATATATAATATCAATATCTATCATTTAAGTATATTTGATTTATTATATTTTTACGTTTGTCAAAATGTAATATAAAATTCTTTATGTTTGTCCAAACCTTTATGTTAATATTAACGTAATTATATATAATATTATATGAGATACTAACTTATGTATGTGTGTATAGATTTATATATGTATATAATATTTTGTTTTCTAAATTTTTTATTAGAATGATTTTCTTGCTACACAATCAACTTCCTAATGTCTAACAGATGAAAGAATCTCTAGCTCCTTAAAAAATGAGACTTAAAGAATTTTTTTTCTTTTTATGAATTATTTTTTAATTGCTGGATATATCGTCCCAGCCCCCTTTTTTCCATTCAAGTGCACTCTTCCAATGGCATTTAATATTGAACTTCTTGGCCTAACCAAGTAATATCTAATTGTTGGCAGGGATGATGAGAATGACTTTTTGGTTCAGCTTTGCAGGTTAACAGGCAAACTTTTAAAGGTACCATCTTTTAAGTTTTAATCGTTAACATCAAGTTATGTACTTATAATGCAAGTTCTTCTTTAGAATCACAGAATTGAATGTTAAAATTGCAATTTAGCTTCGTGCTGTAGATAGATGAGCCTTGTTTTAGATAATGTTTAATTTTTTTTTTTCTTCTATAAAATCTTGAAGGTGTTATGAATTTTATGTTTACCGAATTTTATAATAAATCATATTCCAAAAAAAAAAAAAAACCTTTATAATAAATCTAAACACTCTATTAACACGGGGTAGCTTAAAAACCTCATGGTAGTTATTTCTTATATTTTAAGCATCAACTACAATTGTAACCAAGTCTTGGACCATATAGCCTTAATATTTACCCGTTACATAAAAAAAAAAAAGTACCGTCTCACTTGATAAATATGAACATTTTAATTGCTATCATTTATGCCTTATTTATAATTGTGACTGATACATTAGGCATAGGCCATACAATTTGCTAGAGTGATGGTGAGTATTTTTGGTCAACTGCTGATGATTAATAATTGATGGCTTTGCCAAACTAAATTCCACCTATTAGCTAAAGTAACTGGTTGCAGTATCTTTGAAATGTACTTTTTCATTCTTAGATTTGGAAAGGTGATTGCGCATACTTAGTGTTCGTTCTTGAATTTGTAAAATTCAGGGTGGCGAACCTGACTTGATGACTGCAGCAAAGATGGTCCTTCATGACTGGCAGAGAGGTAAGATACCTTTCTTCGTCCCACCTCCAAGGCAAGAAGACTTGTCCTCAGAGGAACCTACTTCATACAGTATAGATGAGGAGGCTGCAGGAGATAGTAATAAATCATCTGCTGCATTTAAGGCCATTGCAAATGTCATTTCATCCCAACAACAAAAAAGTGTTCCCGTCCAAAGGGATCTTTTTAGCAAGAACGAGTTGGAGGGTGATGGAGATGATCATCTTCCAGTTGATGATGGTGAGATGCCTGAACAGGCATCAGACATGGAGGATGAGGATGAGATTTCGGATGAGCTACCGATTAATGAAGATGAAATAGATAAGGATTTAGGAGCAACTGAATCATAATTTATATTTGCTACAGATCAGATAAAAATTTTGAGATCTCACATGGGTTACATAATATTTGTTTGATGAGTTGATTTGAAGTTTGTATTTTGCATTTTAAGTTGAATAGAAGTAAAAGTTACCTTGAGATGCATGGACAAGGAAAGGCACCTCAACTTTTTATCCCTTGAGAAGGGAAACGCAGGGTGTTTCGAATTGCATTAGAAAGCAAATGAACTTTTGTATTTAAGTTTGGTTGGGCAGGAAATTAACTTGCAAATGTTGCTAACTATATGTATATTTAGGGAAAAAAATGTTGAGGTCCCTAAGGTTTGATCTAATTAACTATTTTCTTTGTACTTTAGGAATTAATTTACTTATCCGTTTTCATTCTGTTGGACCATTCTTTCGTTAGTCAGGCAAATAAAGCATAATCAAAGGTGTGAGATAAAAATAAAAATACCCTTTTAGCAAATCATATAAGCAGATCAAGCCAACCAGACAATCAAAGTTAGGCGGAAGCGAACTATAAATAGATAGGTGAGAGGAGAGAGAATCATCTTCTCTCTATTCATTCGTGCTCCTGGAGCTGTTTGGATGATGCCAAAATGTTCCTCTAATCTTGATAAGCATGTTTTCGGTCTTGATTTAATCATTTAGCTCCCGTTTTTACGAACTAAAGAATTAAAGTTTTTGTTGTTTTTAATTCTTTGGATTGGGTTTTGTGATTCTGGATGCTATTCTCACTGTAGTATACTTGGGTACATGTTTCTTTTGGGATTTATATTTGATTCTTGCTTCAATTTTAGAATTTGATAAAGGAGTAATTTGAAGTTGGGTTTACAAATTGAGAATTTTCGATTTGCTATAATTAGTTACAATTCTCAGAAATTGACTTTAAATTAGATTTTCTTAATAAATTTGGATCAACTTGACCGTGGATCGGTTGAATTTGGCGAAGTTTCAATTTTCCGGCAACTTTCTCTTTCATCCTTTTTTTTTTTCTCTCCTTTGTGTGTATATCAAGACAATAAAGCTGTTTATCTTTTATCTCTCTGTCTGTGTTATATTACATATAAAAAAAAGTTGAAAGCTTTACACCTGTTCTAGGAGTGATGATGATTTGCTTTTCTGGGTTCCTAGAGAGAGGTCTCAATACAAACAAACAAAAGCTTGAACAGAATTTATTTCTGTAGTTGTTCTCTTATGGCTTGGATTGTACAGTACTGGGTTCTCAATTAGGTAAGAATATGTTTAATTTTTTGCTGTGAAGTTTCAGGGTTATGTATTATTTGTATAGTTAAATAATAGAATGAAAGGTTTGCTCATGTTGCATGAAAAATGAAAATGAAAAATATTTTTCTTTTTGATTTCTTTGAGGAAAATGAAACTCAAATGTAGTAATTGTTTAATGCTTCTAACAGTTATAAATAATACTAGAACAATATATATAAGAAATAACATTTATATGACTTGATTGTAGAATAATTTTATTACAACTTGATCCTAGAACTTCATATGAAGACAAGGATCGATAAAAAAAAATTTTTTTCAAAAAATTCATAATTAACATTTTAATTTTCTCAAATATCTCAAAACAAATTTATCCAAATTATCAAAATATTTATAATTTTTAATATATGCTTAATTTAAATGCATATTGAATGAATACATAACTAATTAATTGTGATTTTTAGTAGTTAATTTTTCTCAATCATTGTTTACATAATAAAATCATGAAAAATTCTTAATGAACAAAGCTGTTGATAATTGTAAGAAATGTGATTAGGATGATTCTTGTAGGGGAATGAATTGTGGATTCAGATTGTCAAAGCTAAGTATATGGGTGGGAGGTCTAATATTAGCTATAAAAGTTAGCTAATAAAATAATAATTAACTCTTTGTTATACCAAGTCATAGCCTAGTGGTAAGTATATTATCAGGAGTGATCCAGAAAATTTAATTAATGAGAGCAATACGTGAAACTAATAATTTAGTATAGGGTAAAATGTGAAAATTTAGTGGAGTAAATTTAAATTAACATAATTATATACACTAAAATGTAAAAAATCATAAACTAAACTGTGAAAAACCAGTGGGGCAAGAGCCCCCGTTGCCCCCATTGTAGATCCACCCCTGTACATTACAATATGACAATAGATCCAATTTAAATCTCCTCTTCTCCAACACTAAAAAAAAAAAAAAACAATCTTTATATAGTAAGATAGTATTGCGTGTAGTGATTCTTTTAAAATTTGTTACTGTTTTTTTTTTTTTTTTTTTTTATGAGACATACGTGAAACTAATAATTTAGTATAGGGTAAAATGTTGAAAATTTAGTGGAGTAAATTTAAATAAAACAAATTATAACACTAAAATGTAAAAAAATCATAAAACTAAACTGTGGAAAACCAGTGGGGGCAAGGCCCCGTTTTGCCCCCATTGTAGATTCCACCCCTGTACATTACAATGACAATAGATCCAATTTAAAATCTTCCTCTTCTCCAACACTAAAAAAAAAAAAAAACAATCTTTATAATTATTAAGATAGTATTGCGTGTAGTGATTCTTTTTAAAATTTGTTACTTGTTTTTTTTTTTTTTTTTTTTTCTCAAATAGAACAAAGGCATTTTACGGACTTGCAATAAATATATTTTTTTTTTTTTTTTTTTTTTTTCTCAATAGAACAAGGCATACGACTTGCAATAAATATATTTTTTTATTAAAAAAAACACAAATTATATATATATATATATTTTGATGGAATTGATAAATTATTAAAAATAATATAATACAATTATGGAGACTCAAAAATTAGAAAAAAATAATCTCTTTCCAAAGTTAAAATTTTAGTAGAGAAAAGGAAATTGGTGAATGTATAAAACATTAAAGAAAAGCCGAACCAACAAGAACGCTCGCGCATTTAGATTCAGAAGAGTCATTAGTCTAAGTAGGCTGCATTTACTAGAAGAACTTTAAGATTTTCAAACAAAATCTTCATCATCTTCTTTAATAGCATGATCATGATCACCATCACCATTAATGTCATGCTGAAAATAAAAATGGAGTGGAAGCATCTCATTCGTAGATATTTCATTACTATTAGATTGTAGAGTAGAGACTCTTGCTTGCTTCCCAGGCATTCCCCTGCTTGTACTTGCAATCGTAGGATTGGATCTAATCGGTGCACTATGTAAATTCTTCGCCCTTACTCTCCTTTTCCATCCATGTAGAGATTTCCTTACATTTTCAGAGACTATACTTTTCTTGAATCTTGCATCCATCTACAAATGTCGCAAACTCATAAACAAGAGGAAGAGAAAACAGAACAAGAAAATGAACGAGGAAGAGCTGAAAGAGTTTACCTGCCTAACAATTACATAGAGTGGGAATGTGATGAAGCTACACCAGAATTGAGTTATTACCCTGCATTTATTATGAGCAGTTAGAGCAAGTAATCTTCAATTCGAAGAGAATAGGGAATATGCAGAGAGAGACAAAGGCATGTATACCCAAATGTCAAGCGGATTCCAACGAAAAATTTGTTACTCATAAAACAAGATGTTCCTTTGACTTCCCACTGGCGTAGAAACTAAAATTAGCACCATGAACTCCAAAATGCAGAGTATACCTATGGAGTTATCAAGCACAATAGAATAGACTTCCAAGTGATAATAGCCACTTTCCTTGTATATATAATGCTCTTTCTCTTCTTTTTTCCCAAAAAAATATAAAAGAAAAGAAAAGAACGGCTTTTTAATCAAGCAAGTTAGAATATGACAAGTTAAATGCCAAGCAGATTAATCAAAATGGTTCTCCATCACAAAAAATGGCTAATATCGCCTTGCATAGAAATGTAGATTAGAGGTTCAATTCCTCAAAGATATTATCTAGTGTTTACAGTTACTTGCATTAACAAACGTGAAAGAAAAATCTCACCAGGGACCATAAGAACGTTGCCATTTCAAAAGCATTCTGGAAAAGAAATGCTCATTAAAAGATAAGATTTCAATTTTGTTATAGAAATTTTAAGGCAATAAAGAATACTATCGCTTCCCTCACCTGAAATGATATTAATTGTATTAACCACAAAAGAAGTTTAGGCTTCCCAAACCAAAAGAGCTCGTCCCTCAAGTTTAACTGATTGAACTGATATTGAAGAGTTCCTACCCCAGTATCTGTATCCATGATTTCAACAGCCAACTTGACCACTACTCGATGAAGTTTTGTACCGATTACCAATACTAACTTTTATTTTTCCAAGGAAAAGAAGAGCACATCAATATAGAATATTATTGAGCACATGAAGAAATCAACAGAGATATGTTTGAAGACTTACAATCGCCGGAAGAAATGAGAGCCAAAAGTAAACATAAGTTTCTGAACAAAATTCAGAAATTTCATGCTTTCAGAAATATGCAACAGATTTCACAATAGAGATAAAAGATCGATAAGATTTAATTTGAAATGCATTTTTTGAATGTTCCATGGATATTGAATGTCTTGTATGAGTTATTTTCTATAAAACCAACACAAAGAATGGGGCTTATACATGAACAATATAATCATGATCAAGATACTAAAATTTGCAGCAATAATATTCACCAAGGGCCTGAAAGAGAAGAAAAATGAAAAATTATAACATCATTGGCAATTATTTCTCCTAACTTTATTAATTTCCCATTCTTGATAATGGATATGTACCTCTAACACATATGTTGAAGCATAGTACCATTTCATTTAGCATGGAATTTATCTACTGTCTTGGATTCACTTGGAAATGAAACCAAAAAACACAAGGGTAGTTCCTAGCAAATGAGATATAAGATGGTGTCTGCTAGCTTTAACATAGCTCAAACAACAAATACATGCAGAAAGGTGAATCTGTTATGACCACGCACTGGTAGTTCCTTGAAAAAAAATCGAAGTTCTTTAGCAATTAGTTTATTTGGACCCACAGCAAATTACCATGGAAATCTAGAAAAATGCAACATATAGCATAGATCCAGAGAGGCAAGCTGCAAAACAAACACAAACAAGAGTAATCAATTTGGTTTGTTGGAAAAACAATGGCAAAATCTTGGAGGAGTTTTTCCAATACTAATTAATGTAATAGTATTTAGAAGGCATTCTACAGAAAGACAGTACTAGGCTTGCCAGAAACTACCAAGCCTCTAATTTTGAAGTGTTTAACGGAAAAAAATGTTGAAAGTCTTATTTTTTGGAACATAATACAATCAACTTTTGCCAGCAACCGACTTTGTTGGGCTGCATGGTTTTCGGTATAGCTCTCAGACAGTAAAGTTTGATCGATCTATGTGCTTATACTCGCACTACATTGATGTGCAAGATGAATAGTTATTGAAATTTTAAGGTACATTAATTCAAGGAATTGCTATTATGAAAGGTGTAAGATGAATTACCTAATGCCAACAATATCTCGAAATTCTTCCTCCATGCTTCGAAGCATAAAGTTATGAAAATCATATGTCAAAGGAAGATCATGTGTCTTCAAATATGAAAGAAAAAGAATTAGAAAAAGAAAAAGTTTGGTTAGTTACTAGATTAGGTATCACGATTTCAGTTTTCAAGTCGTGTTCTAGCTGCAAATTTATTAATGTAGTTCTATCATGCCTGGATTCTTGTGAAAGATGTAATCATTTGTATCAATTAAGATTTAGAAGCAAAAACAGGTCCTTTCTTCTACTCTTGTTAATCATTATCTTTACGGTTGAAAACATCTTGAGCTTATAAAATCTTGTCATTCACGTGATTTCCTTCCTGACAATTATTTGTGAAAATTGAAATATCATAAAATCAAATTTCCTAACTCAAAATATATAAGAGAAAAAAATCCATTATGTTAGAAAGCACATACAGTGATAAATCCATATCGCAAAGCCATATAATCAGCATAATTTACAGAACTCCAGAATTGACGGCTGAAACAAAGCTGCAAATTGGTATTTTATCATTCAAATATTTAAAACTTAAAGAATTAATTCAATGGAACAAGAAATAAAGGAGATAAAAGAAATATCTGTCAAGCTATATGCATATGGAATATGGATATGATCTGGCTAAAAAGCTTTGAAAAAAAAATATCATTACACAATGCAAATTATTGGTGGGACTTCACATAAGATCAATTAAATGGACAAAGTAATAATTCAAGACATAGAAACGCAGAGATGGGATAAACTTGAAACTAACAGATTAAAAAGCTAGTTGATACCAAATTAATCAAGAACACGTTAAATTTTTGAAGTGTGAATGGACTGGTTGTAATTGGGATCGACAGTGAAAGTGATAGTCTAGAATGAAGGTTTTTAGTCTCTCTTTTTTTTTTTTTTTTTTTTTTTTTAAAGTTTTTAGTCCTCTTTTTTTTTTTTTTTTTTTTTTTTTTTTTTTTTTTTTTTTTTTAAACGAGCCAATAAAAGACTGAACATTCTGCCATTTTCAGTTTTAAGCTTCAAGAAATGTCAGAGATTGAAAAGGAAGAAAAGGGCTTCATAGAGATTAAAAATGACAATATCCTTGTGATCATGGTTTTTAGAAAAACAGAACTAAAAATTAGTTTGAGCAAAAGCAGATAAGAACAATCAATTCACCTAATATCACAAAGTGAGAATCTACGTTTAGTTGAGCCGAGATTCATCACACCTTCACATCTTTGTTAAATGTATGATGAAGAAATTTTATATTTTTCACAGAACCTTGAAAAAGATCTATTTTATTAACTAGGCAAGTAAATACATATGATATCAAGCATGTTACATGTGAGGATATATACCAGCCAAACAAGAACTCCATGCTGACTCCATGGATGGGATGTACGGTGAGAAATGAAGGTAGCTAGTCTTGTCATTCTTCTATTGTGAAATTCAGCTTGCTCAGAATCTGGCATTCAACAAGTTGATACAATTTATAGCATGGTTTATTTATATATACACATCACTATGGACAGCAAAGTTCTGCACCTTGTGCACTCAGAATAGCCATGGCCTTAGCATTTTTTTCCCAAATATTCCAACCATAAATCTTCAAGAATTGAAAAGAAACGTTAGAGCTCTCTTCACTTTAAGTTTCAAAGGCATAATAACAGAAATTGTAATATAAGAGTGCTTAAGAAGAACCTTAATCATAGCCAGGGTAATGGCAATAAAGCTATATAATACATGGATAACCCCGAGAACAAACATCAATCTGTGAAGCTGCTCCAAACTTTCTTGTGAAGCAAATGGCTCATGACCCTGCAGAACATATAACAAGTTAACTGAAAGTTAATGCAAGTACAAAAGTTGATTTTTATTTAATTTTCTATAAGAAATCCTTGGTAAAAAGGGTTGGTTAAGCTGGAGGAATTATTAGATAAGACTGTCATATTGTCTTTTTCAAAACTCCCCCTATGATTTGCCAGGACCAATTCGTAAAATAACTTAAGAGATGAACTATTAGAATAGGAGCATGCTCCCTTCAATTAACATTAAGGTGGGAATGATGTGAGTCGGAAAGAGAATTGGGATCCCATATGTTTGTGAATAAGAACTAAAACCATCCTATGGATACATTTATCACAAACGTGGAACAGGAATTCATAATCCCTCATCCACATGCATCAGAGGGTTCCTACGAAGAAGAACGGGGATCAATTCATGAAAACAGCTTCTAATCTTAGACCAACTATATAAAATCACACTCAAACTTTACACAGAGTATCGGTTGACATCCTTAACTTTTAAATAACCCATTAAATCATACAAACTTACAAATCGCCATAATTGAACGTTTCAACTTGCAAAATTGCACCAGTAAATATCTGTTAGATAGTTGAAAAATAAATAAAAATTGAAGTGATGATGAAAGTTAAAATTAGCAACGGACTTTTTGTGTTAATTTTGCTTGGGAAATTAGCTTCTAACTTTTATGCTTGTGAGTGTAAGGTAAATATAAAAATAATACACCAGGTGCACTAACTAAGCTCTCAAAAGATAAACAGAGAAAGGGTTGTTACCTCAGGGCAATGACCATGGCGACGAACAAAGGTGTGTAAATCATGTCTAGCTGTTGAATCATTGGTATAACTAGCAGCTGAATCAAGACTGTGTTCTTCTAATTTGAACTCATCAATAATTGCACATGGGAAAAATCTGCTGCTCATATCTGATGATTTCACACAAATCTTGGCCACAAATACAACCCAGTGACCCATCAGCAATGACAAAAGCCCAAAAAGCATTAGCTCTGCTCACATATTCACAAAATCACACACATAGATTCACAATTTCAGATAATTTCTTTTATTAAATTGAAAAACAAACCAAAACCATATTTGCTTACCATCTTTGATCTTCTCCAAAGCTGAAAGTAGTGCTTTCCTCTTAGTCCTATCCAACCACTATTTACAAAAAAAAAAATTAAATAAGAGTAAAAGGTAAGAAAAAAAGAGCTTTAGATATGAACACGTAAAAATGAATTTCTTTCCAGATTTTCTACCTTTCCAAATCGTTCCAAAGAGAATTGAAAGAAGAACCCTAAAGAAACCATAAAAGTGATTACTGAAGCCAAAGCCCATGTCGGGGTAATGGCTAAAGATTTGCCTTCTTCCTCCATTTTCTAAAACAGAAAGAAATTTACAGATCCTAATTGAACTTTTAAGGATTCAATATATAGAAACCAGCAACCCCAACATTTAACACTCTCAGAGTCTCAAATCCCATCAGTCTTTTTCAATGCTTCTTATAAAATAGCTCGATTTAGGCCATGAATATCAACAGGTGGGGGTTTGGTTGCCATCTTCAATTAGAGACTGCATCTTCAGGGCATTTAAGAAACCAGGTCAATTCTGTTATGAACCAAACGGGCATAATGGGTCCCTTTGAAAAAACAACTCCATGATCATGTCATGCATATGTTGGGAAGGAACCAACCAACGTGAACGTGACTCTGTCTTCCGCTCTTCCATCTTTTCTCAGCAAGTTTTAATAGAGGTAGCTGTTGAATCATTGGTATAACTAGCAGCTGAATCAAGACTGTGTTCTTCTAATTTGAACTCATCAATAATTGCACATGGGAAAAATCTGCTGCTCATATCTGATGATTTCACACAAATCTTGGCCACAAATACAACCCAGTGACCCATCAGCAATGACAAAAGCCCAAAAAGCATTAGCTCTGCTCACATATTCACAAAATCACACACATAGATTCACAATTTCAGATAATTTCTTTTATTAAATTGAAAAACAAACCAAAACCATATTTGCTTACCATCTTTGATCTTCTCCAAAGCTGAAAGTAGTGCTTTCCTCTTAGTCCTATCCAACCACTATTTACAAAAAAAAAAATTAAATAAGAGTAAAAGGTAAGAAAAAAAGAGCTTTAGATATGAACACGTAAAAATGAATTTCTTTCCAGATTTTCTACCTTTCCAAATCGTTCCAAAGAGAATTGAAAGAAGAACCCTAAAGAAACCATAAAAGTGATTACTGAAGCCAAAGCCCATGTCGGGGTAATGGCTAAAGATTTGCCTTCTTCCTCCATTTTCTAAAACAGAAAGAAATTTACAGATCCTAATTGAACTTTTAAGGATTCAATATATAGAAACCAGCAACCCCAACATTTAACACTCTCAGAGTCTCAAATCCCATCAGTCTTTTTCAATGCTTCTTATAAAATAGCTCGATTTAGGCCATGAATATCAACAGGTGGGGGTTTGGTTGCCATCTTCAATTAGAGACTGCATCTTCAGGGCATTTAAGAAACCAGGTCAATTCTGTTATGAACCAAACGGGCATAATGGGTCCCTTTGAAAAAACAACTCCATGATCATGTCATGCATATGTTGGGAAGGAACCAACCAACGTGAACGTGACTCTGTCTTCCGCTCTTCCATCTTTTCTCAGCAAGTTTTAATAGAGGTGATGGACGCTACGTAAGTATTGCATATATTCATTGTCTGGAGCTAGAAAATTTGTTATGTGGGACCATTTATTTAATTTAATTTTTAGCAGGGGCCAATTAAGTTAAAATTTTTAAAAATTTTCATTTAATATATATATATTTTTACTTTTTTTATTAATTTAATCTAATTTTATAAATATTTTTTAAAAGTTGGGTGGGTCCAATTGATCCTGCTATATATAATGTGGCCTTATCCCTGCATGTATTAATTATTAATGAGGAATTTTCTTTTCTTAATTGAAAAAACATGACTATATAGATCCTTGATTGAATCCATTCTCTTCTTTCATTTGAGTTTTGCAGAATCACAAGTGAATGATTAACCATTATCTCATTTTCTTAATTAATATAATTAATAAAAAAATCATAACAACTATTATCCTGTTTTCTTAATTTATTCATAATTAATATCAACAGCTTTTAATACTAATTATTAATATTATTACTTTATTACTTACTAGTCTTTTGTATGACGTGCGTTGCACGTTGATTATATTCATTATATACTCATTTTTATCTATATCATATTAAATGATAAGTTTTGTTTATATTAAAATGAATACAAGTGGTTAATTTATATTATATTTTATCATACAAACTACTTGCAATACTACTTATTATGTACTTAATTCTATTTTTATATAATAAAGCAAACTACTTGCAATACTACTTATTATGTACTTAATTCTATTTTTATATAATAAAGTGATCTTAGAATAAAGTTCAACCAAATCCTTCTTTAGGCCATAATTTATAAAATGCAGATTTTTAAAACCCTAATAAGTGCTCAAACAGAAAATCAAGTCATTACTCAATCTCTAACTCCTTGCTCTCAACCCCAAATGAGCATCTATATACAATTATAATGAAGAATAATAATAGATTATTTTTATTGTTAGGTCAAAGAAAATAAATGAGAAGATGATCTAAATTGATAATGGAATCACTTTGACCACAATGGTAGTATTATTTACCTATTGTATCAGAGAAAGGAATATATGCACCTACATACAAATTCTTGAAACCCCAAAAAGTGATCCAAACAGAAATATATAGTTCTAGTTTTTTTTTTTCAGTTTTTTAAACATTATTTTCTTTTAAGTCAAACATCAAACAAATTTAAGAACTATAAGAGAAAAAATATAAAAAAATTAAAAATCGTTTAACTATCAATAGGAGATATAAATCTCTTACTAAAATTTAAAACGATAGTAGTTACAAAATTATTCAGTCGAAAGAAATAAAAAATTTTATTATTAATATTAAAAATAAAATTCTTTCAAAACTCATTTAACAAAAAAAAAAAAACCTTTCAATGTATATAGATATATAAATATATCAATAAAATATTTTTTAAATTAAAATTTCAATTGTTTACCATCCCATGTTTATTTATGTAAATTCTATTTGCAAATTTACTTTTTAAAAAATATAACCAATCAAATATGAGAAACATAAAGAACAAAAATATGAATAAAAATAATATACTTTTTTCCTTTTTTTTTATCTCTCTCCTAAATAAAATATTATATATATTATATTTGAAAGTTTATTTTTTAAGAATATATCCAATCATATCATATAAACATCAAGAAATTTTTTTTATCCACATCCTAAAAGAATCAAATATTTAATAAATAAAATGTAATAAATTTTCAAATGTCTCATTATCAACATATTCATTAAAATAAATTTAGTAAATATAAAATTTTAAAATGTTTAATTATATATATGTATTTATTTTAAAAAAAATTTTATCCATTAGAAGGTCTGATAGATCGAAATAATACTAAGGCTACACAACAATCAGGAATCTGTGAGAGAAGGTTCTCGAACCGGGTTCCGCCCGAATAAAACACTCCGCCCGCCACCTCATCAAAGTTAAACGATTATTCTTCCTCAGCCAAAAATCTCGCTAATTGATCTTTACGATGCTTCGGTAGACCATTGTGTAGGATGTCACCGGCTTTGACTCTTTACTCTCATACGGCAAGGAAGACCTCTACTATTTACCGATACCGAGTTGAGTGAATGAGCACATGAAGGAATGAGCCCTTTCTCGATATGGGTAATCCTTAGTGTACCCAAAAACTCCGTTTGGTGGGTCTGAAGTCAAGACCAAAATCTCCTCTTTTCGGAAGAGCGTGAAAATTTGAAAACTATGGCCAGATCTTGGTAGGGAAATGGGGCCTTCCGATGGAGGATTTATTCAATCACATAGTTTGGGCTCCTAGAATATGACGCCCTTGGGGTTTTCTATTTGATTGTATCAAAAGGCCCAATGAATTGGGATTTCCCTATTGGGCCAAGTCATTTCGGGGCAAGTGGATCATTTATGATGAAGAGGACCGCTATCCTAAGCGTAATCTGAATTTCAAGCGGCTTGCTACATCTGTATTCGAATGAAGAGGGCTTGCACTGGCTGGACGTAAAATATATCAGATATATAAATATACAGATATATCTGTAAAATATATCAGTAAAATATTATTTTTTAAAATTAAAATTTTCAATTGTTTACTATCACATGTCTAATTATGTAAATTATATTTGAAAATTTATTCATTAAAAAATATATCCAATCAAATCTTGCAAACATAAAGAACAAAAATATTAATAAAACCAATATATTTTTTTATATGATATGATTGGATATTTTTTAAAAAAATGATATCGATTGGATATTTTTTAAAAAAAATAAATTTTCAATATATATATATATATATTTATATTCATTAAAAATAAATTTAGTAAAGAATAACAAAGATAAAACTTAAAATTTTAAAATGTTAAATTATTTATATGTATTTATTTAAAAAATAAAATTTTTTTGATTCATTAGGAGGCTTGATGGGCCAAAATAACAATGTGGGTCATATAATAATCAAATTGGTAAAAACACTTCTGGTCAAAAGGACTCGAACTCGAGACTTCTCACTTCTCACATAAGTGAGAAAAAAAATCAAACCATACAACTACTTGCAATACTACTTTTTATGTATTTAATTCTATTTTTATATAATAAAGTGATCTCAGAATAAAGTTCAACCAATTTCTAGACCTAATCCTTTAATCCATAATTTATAAATGCAGATTTTAAAATCCTAATAGGTGTCAAAAATAAAATCAAGTCACCACTCAATCTCCAACTCATGCCCTCAACCCTAAATTAATATTTATATACAACTATAATGAAAAATAATAATAAATTATTTTTTACTGCTAGGTAAAAGAAAAGAAATAAGAGGATGATTTGAATTAATAATGAAAATCGCCTTGGTTAAATCGCCTTGGTTTACTATGCAATATTTATTTACCCAGTTATAAGAGAAAGAATATATAATGCACATACAAACACAAATTCCTTTGAAACCACCCAACAGTGCCAAAACAAGAAACTTATAGTTTTTAGTTTTTTTTCTAGTTCTTAACACTATTTTCTTTTAATCAAACAATTTAAGGATTATAAGAAAAATATCAAGAAAATTAAAAATGCTTAATCATCAATAGACTATCTATTTTTTTTGCAAAGGGGAGAATACAAATCTCTTACTAAATTTAATGATAGTAGTTAAAAATTATTTAGTAACGAAAAAAGAAAATAAAAAATTTATTATTAAGAAATAAATCCTTTTCAAAACTTACCTACAAAGAATAATTCAAATAAATATAGATACAGATAAATATATCAATAAAATATTATATAATATATATTAAATTATACATTTTTCAACTGTTTATGAGGTTAATTATGTAAATTTTATTTGAAAATTTACTTTTTTAAAATATAATCTAATGAAATTTACCAAATAAAGAAAATAATAATAATAATAATATTTTTTTTTCTTTTTTTTATTCTCCTTAATAAAAATATTATATATATTCCATGTAAAAATTTATTTGAAAAATATATCATTAATGTATATAAATATAATAAAATATAATCAATAAATATTATATTTTTTTAAAATTAAAATTTTGAACTGTTTATGAGGTTTAATTATGTAATATTTTATTTAAAAATTTACTTTTTAAAAAGTATATCCAATGAAATCTTACAAACATAAAGAAAAAATATTAATAAAAATAATATACTTTTTTTTTTGTCTTCTAAATAAAATATTGTATATATTGTATTTGAAAATTTATGTTTTAAAAATATTTCAATGTATATAGATATATAAATATATCAATAAAATATTATACTCCCTCCATTCCATTTTATTTGCTTGTTATTTCTTTTTTTATGTCCTATAATGTTTGCAAAATTTCTAAATTTATACATATAAATAATTATTTTTTCCATGATAATCTTCATGATCCTTATCAAATGATGAACTTTTATTAATATTTTCAATGAGTTAAAGGTAAGGTCAAAAAGGACAAAATAACTTTTGATATGCGTGATTTGTCAAACTATGCAAATAAAATGGCACGGAGAGAGTATATATTTTTAAATTAAAATTTTTAACTGTTTATCAAGTTTAATTATGTAAATTTTATTTGAAAATTTACTTTTTAAAAAGTATATTCAATGAAATCTTACAAACATAAAGAAAAATATTAATAAAAATAATATTCTTTTTTTTATCACTCATAAATAAAATATTACATATATTCTATTTGAAAATTTATTTTTTAAAAAAATACATCCAATCAAATTCCAATCTATATAAACATAAAAAAGAATATTAATAAAAAATATATTTTCTATTAATAAAAAATATATTTTCTTTATTTTATTATATATATCCTAAGAATTAAACATCTAATAAATAAAATATAAAAATATTTTCAAATGTCTCATTGTAATATATATTTATTAAAAAATAAATTTAGTAAAGATAAAACCTAAATTTTTAAATGATTAATTATCTATATGCATTTATTTAAAAAATAAAATTTTTTAATTCATCAGGAGGCATAATGAGCCGAACAATAAGGAATAAACATTCACTCACCAAATTGGTGAAAACACAAGTGGTTGAGAAAAAGATTCGAACTCGAGACCTCTTACTCCTCACATAAGTGAGAAGACTATCAGACTACATATGATTGAATTAAAAATAATTTTTAGAAAAATGTATTCTAATAAAATGCAATTTTCTAATTGATTATGACTAAAGTTATTTTAGAATATTTTAAATTTCATTAAAAGCGCGGTCGAAAATCTTATTATTCTCCCTCTTTTCCACTTTGATATATAATATATTATATATAAAATAGATACATAGATATAGATAGATAGACAATGTTGGATGTCGCAATATGTATACTAGAATTTATACAAGTAAAACATCCCTCCCTTCAAGTGGCTTATAATTTTACCGATCGTCACCTTAGTCAACAATAATATAGCAAGATTTGCAAATGATAACGAGATTTATAATGTTGTAACTAATTTATTGTTTACATTGGGCCTAATGACCTCATTCTGAATCAGCCAACTAATTAATTGATGGAATCCAATAATCATCCCTCTCATCTAGTCATGTCTCTACTCGCATTTATATGCAAAACGCACAGGTCCATAAACTAATGAATTAAAATAACAGCTCAAATATGAAAATGGAAAAATATGAAAGATAACATGAGTTGGTGAGTGTGTAGCTGGTCAATTATTTATTTATTTTTAACAAAAGAAAAAAAAGAGACCATTAGGTGTGTTAGTTATTGTCCCGTCAGCTTGAACCACCGGTCAGGTATTGACGTCTCGATTTAAGATACCCATTAGGCATACCGACCCCTCAAACATTAAAGAGAGACTTTGCCTCCTTCCTACTAGGTGTCACTGGTCAGTTTGGTTCATATAACCGAAAAATTCAAGTAAATAATTTTTTTCAAAATCGACCTATATATAAAATTGAATCCAACTAATTTGATTTAGTTTTGATTGATTTAGCTTACTAAGACATTCTATAATTAAAGTGAAAATCAAAATTACTTAAACTCATAAATCAAACTAAATTAATTAACTCAGATAATCAAACTGAAAAACCTTATTCATTGATTCAGTTTTAACCAAGTCAAGCTAATTGAACCGATGAGATAAAAAATAGATGGACTGCCAAATACTTTAACGCAACTATTTTTTCCAGAACATGGGGTTTTCCAATGGGCTGAAAAAAAAAAAAATGCAAATTAGAAATTGATTTGTCTAAATCAAGTCTGTGGTTCCGTCCATGAATTAAATTAATAAAAATGAAAATTTTGATTAAAACGAATTTATTTTTAAACATATACCGAAAGAAAAAGAATAAAATAATTGTCCATTGCCAATACTTATAAAAATGATTTTTTTTTCATTTATTAATCCGATATTAATTCATATAAAAAAAAGAAAAAACATAGCAGGATTCTAAATATAAATTACAAAATACAGAATCTGGGCACAACTGTTTACATATGTTGAAATGATTTCTTTTCCTCTATGAAATACTTGGAAATAATATTTCTAAATTACATATATATTTTTTGTTTACTCTGTTTTTACAAATTAGAGCTCAATCTTTGGCTCCTCTTCCATCTCCACTGGTAATTCATTCTTCACCCAATCCAGATAACCTCCTCCCATGTTGCTCACATCCTTGAAACCCTATAATGTCATTCTCAACATATTATTTATACTTTCTCACTTTCTTTCACTTAATAAGAACCAAATTTAGTTTTAGGTTAATTTTTGAGACCAAAAAGGCTCTGGACATTGACTCAAAAAACAGGGCATAAAAGCAGAGAGGACTTAAACATTTATTGAAGGATTAACTAAACTTTTTTTCTGGTATAATCCCTCAGGCCCCTCGCCCGTAGAGCCTCCCAGCAAAGTGCGCTTCCCGTTATTTTATGTTATTTTTTACCACCTCAATCAACACTTTATTGGTAAAGGATTAACTAAACTTCCGTAAATCATAAATGCAATTTTCATGAACTTACAGCAGTTAATAGATCAGCAGTTGCATATAGAGATCTGACTCCACTCTGACAGCCCTATAGAGGAAAACAATTGGATACCATAAGGCTTTCTATTTGTTAATTGACAATTGATAAATTTACTTGAAAACTCGAATAATTACCACAACAAGATGATCTTCCTTTTTGCAAATAGCTGAAACCTCCTCCAAGAATTTAGGGTTTTTTACCCTCCCTGAAATCCAAGTCACATAATATTGTCTTGTTTAATTAATATTAATTTCTTAAACTAAAGAAATTAAACAACTAATTATTGTTAGAATGCTAAATGTATACCTTCTGGTGTGTTGAACATGTAAGGAATGTTAAATATCTTCTCTGCACGCACATGTCCTTTCTTGAATTCTTCCACAGTCCTATGCGTACAATGAACAAGAAAAGGAAAAAGATAAAAAGAAAAAGAAAAACCCAGAATTTAGTTTCCAAGAAACAGAATTCAAGACCCATATGATTAACGATCTTGAGGGAAATACAAAGAAAATAGCATGTACCTAACATCTAGATAGATATAGCCAGATTCATGCAAACCCTTGGCTGCCTTAACATCAATGGTTATAACTTCAGATTCTGAGCTGTAATATATCAAAAGAAAAAGAAATAACCCACAAGAGATTAAATTTAAAGAAAAACCCATATCAAATAACCCAAATAAAAGAAAACTTGGGATTTATTTATTTGTTGTTATAGAAAGAAAAGACCTTCTGTCCAAAGAACCCATGAAGATAGGTTGGCTTTTATATACCAAGAATAGTTAAAAATGTTGACTGTTGTACAAAGAGCCTCCTTCCAGATCTGGTGGCTGTTTGCTGGTTTTGGCTGAGAAAACTAGCTCCTAATATTCATATTCATGATAAAACTGTGTTTTATAATCAGCAGCAGTTGAATTTGTTTTCTCTGTGGGAGACTAGATAAGGACATAAATTAATACACGTAGTAATCCTACAAAGCAGGAAGCAATAACATAATGACACGTAATTATGACAACGGCACTAAATCGAGTCGGAGAGTGCAAAGCATATGCGGTACCGACATATATCGCTCTTGTTTAATTATCATATAAAAAAAAAAAAATACTCGGTAATGTTAATGTCCATTTGACATGTTAAGTTGACGTGTAAAAAAAAAAAAACATATACATTACTTAACATACCTTCTATTTTTAAAGGATCTCTCAGACAATATGAGCATTTATTTATCTATAATGATTTGTTGCACATTAATTCCGGACCCTGAAAAGGAAAAAAAGAAAAGAATGAAAAATGATTTAAAAATAATGTATTGGAAAAAGATTTTTAAAATTTAATATTTATAAATAGACATTTAGATATGTCATTATTTACACATTTTATTCCAAATACCACGAAAGCCACAATTTACATTAATATTTGAATGCTCTAAGAGCATGTAGATTTTTTTATTTAATTGTCACATCAGAAAAATAAAAAGATTTTTTAAAAAGTACTCTCAAATATTTTCAAATGCTAATGACTATTGGATTTTTCTTATTTAATTTTCACATCAGAAAAATGAAAAATTTTTTTTTTAAGAAATACTCTCACATGCTAGTGACTATTTCATATGTCAAATTGAGATGAAAATAAATAAATAAATAGACATTAATTTCTAGAGGGTTCTATTACTCTACAATGACTGATTGTAAATTGAATTGTCTGCTTATAAAAGAAAAAAAGAAGGATCAAAGGAAATTTAAAATTAGGACATTGGAGAGAAATTTTAAAAATTCAATGAGAATCGTTAATCATGATCCGAGTCATCACTCGTTATCTTCCAATGCTTCCATAACGTGTGGAGAAAGGATCACCGGTGGATGGATAATGTGCTGTGTCATAAACTCGTTATCTACCAATATCCTGTGTAATAAAGAGCGATGAATTGGTGGATAGTGTGCCAACTCCCATATCACCATTTCTTTTCACTTAGTTTTTTCCCCCGTAACATGATATGAAAAGCAAATACATACAACGTGCTAACTAGCAAGATTATTATATTCAAACGCTAAAATTTGTAAAATTAAATTATTTAAATATTTATTGAATAATTAAAAAATCTAAAAATTATTATTTCGAAAGTTATACTAACTGCATATCATATATAAAACCTTAAAAACTCAAAAGACCATTATTAATGTGAAAATGTGTTAACAAAATTAACAAAATAGGTTCCGCAAACTTTGAGGTGCCACAAAGTTTTCTTAAGCCTACTCTCTCAATCCAGTTAAAAGTTAGACCTCCATGTCAGATATTAAGCTATTCAATAAACAACAAAGATCCCCATTTACGGATTGAACTATTGGGAATTTGGGATACAAATGGAGAATTTATGGAAGGTGAGAAAAACTTGTGATGTGTAGCTTAGCCATTGAATGAAAGGAGCATATTACTACACAAAATACAATTATATACAATTTCACTTTTGAACACTCAATTCTGTAGAAAGTAAGAAATCATCATAAAGTACATGTATTTAAACACCATCTGCAACTTTTCTTTAATTTAGAACACAACAATGAAAACCACCTAGCTTTAGCTTGAAGCAGCGAAGAAGCTTTCAAGGAACTGCTCCCACTGTAAGTTCACAACATGTCAAAATATGCAGCAGCAGTATTTGGGATGGCCATTGAAGACTCTGTAGAGGCATTAGTTTGAAGGACAAAGTTCAAATGCAGTTATTAACCATCCCTTATAAACAAAAGGCCTGCAAATGAAATAAGGAAAAGAAGAAACTAAGTTAGCCATGGCTGGTAAATGGGTTGAAGGTCAAGCAATGCCTTTAAAATGTGATATAATAGAGAGTAATCAATTCCCAAAGATAAAAATTAAACAATCATTATCAAGTATGGTTGGTGATCAATTGCCAATTTCAATATGAACAATTATTTGCGAATTTTGGGTTCTCTCCCTGCCTGCCCCTTCCTTCCTCCTCCAGAAAATTTAAAGAAAAATTAATTTGAATCAACAATCCACTTCTAAACTTTAGCTGATAAGTGGGCGCAGATTTGTTTCTTATGATAATCGGCATACCTGATTAAAAAATCTAGTCCACCTCCTGTTTAATTTACTGATTCTGAAGCCAGATTCTCCTCTTGAACTGCATAAAGAAGACAGCAAATGTTCAGTCTTTTGTTTAGATAAGACAATTATTATTAATAAAGAAAGAAATGAGTGTTTGCTATAACGGACAAGAAATCTCCTATAACTTAAAAACAAGGAGAAAACATAAAGCTTAAGCTAAAACTGAATGCCTTCCAATCAAATTGGATAACCTTTAAAGGATGCCTATAAGAGCTTCAGAAGGCACAATTCCAAAAACATTGGCAATTTTCCCGCCACAAAACCCTCTAGAGGTTAAACCAACAAAATTTCCAATGACTCTAAGCACACTCACTGCTCCTCACAAATGCTAAAAAGGCAATTCCGTATAGCCCAAGCCAGTTCACACTTAACAAAGCAAAAATTGGTGAGGATAAGTCCCCAGATGTGAGTTGGACAACAAAGAATTGACCTTATTTTGCTTACTGGCAAATCAATCTGTCTGGAATCAAGTTAAATATTGGCAAATTTTACTTTGTTCAGCTCAATATTGGCAAAACAATTAGATAAATTCATTATCCATGTCATGTAAGATCTGCCAATCTCAACATTTCTGGTTCTCTTATTATTTTCCTCCTGTTTGTCACTAGAAAAATATTGAAGAACATGGCATAATGTCCAAAGTTACTGTTTGTAATCTAGCATCTTATTCACTCATCTCTTAGATATTGAATAACATCCTCTCTCCCCATTCTATCAACTTATTACCAATAACTGGTATAAGGATCTCATCACAAGCACATGAAACAAGATTGTATTACATATTTGCTCTTCTAACTCGAGACAAATTCTTTCTGATTAAGAGTCTTGAAAATACAAATAGATAAATGTAATGTACTATGTGAATTACATTAAATAACATTCTTTCTAGTGGCTATCACTTCTTATGTTCCTACCAATAGCTCAGCATGCCCTTCTCATGCAGCTACAGAGAATGCTACCCCACAAAAAGTTTCCACCAGTAGAAAACAAGGTTCTGGGAAGAGAAGATCTAGAACCTTTTTTCACCGAGTCAACTCTACCCTTTCAAATGACTCATATCATATCTACCTATCTCAAATGCCCTTTTATACACTTACAAACACCAAGCAAGTGATTTCCATTTCTAGACAACACTATTTGACAGACGCTCAGTGACATAATCACAGTATGCCCCCAGACTCTCTATATAGGTACATCAATTGTACTTAATTTACTCACTTCTACACTCCAAATCACCTTTAACTGCAACAAAGACTATCTTTTCCTAACATAATTCACATGTGAGAAGACGAAGCAAAATGAGAAAGTAGCTTCACAAACAGTCTGTCAGATTTTTTGCAGAAGTCTTGAAGGAAATAACTATATAGAGAAATACTTAACAGTTCAATTTAATAAAAACATGGGTCTAGTTGGGCAGCTTGACTTAAAGATTGTGAAGTTTCTCATAGTCTACAGCATAAAGTAGCACAGAATGAATTTGATCATAACCCCCTCCACATGCACATAGAGAGATCTTTCTTTATGACTATCAATATAAAGTCATTTGATACAATTTCAAGCGATTAGGCATGGAAATATTTCCAGTTTTTGGCATCAAACATTGGTGAAGCACATATATGGCTGAATTTAATTTAATGCCAACAGGCACCATTTGACAATTCCACAAGTTAGTTCCAAGATGATGCTAGTTCAGTATTTGACAAATCCAGATTCAAAGCTTCAGGAATCAGTAAGATAATATACATGCATCACTTAAGTAGGAAAAAAACAACTGCTGTCTTGTTTTATCCCGTACACAGAAAACAATTACCAACAAACCATCAATTAACCCCACTGCAATAAATGTTCAATCTCCCCCAAGCGAGTAGGCATGGAAATATTTCCAGTTTGGCATCAAGGCATGTGGTGAAAGCCCACATGATATGGCTGGAATTTAATTTAATTCCAAGCAGGCAGCCATTTGACAATTCCACAAGTAGTTCCAATGATGCGTAGTGCAGTATTTGGACCAAATCCAGATTCAAAAGCTTCAAGAGTCAGTAAGATAGATTATACAGCGATGCACTTTAATAGGAAAAAAACAACTTGCTGTCTGTTTCTGATCCGCGTACACAGAGAGAACAGTAGCCAACCAAACCATCCAATTTAACCGGCCACTTGCGAATAAATGTTTCAATCTCCCCCCGCCCCCCCCCCCCCCCCCCCGCCCCCGCCCCGCCCCCCCCCCGCCCCCCCCCCCCCCCCCCCGCCCCCGCCCCCGCCCCCCCCCCCCCGCCCCCCCCAAACGCCCCCCCCGCGCCGCCCCCCCCCCCAACAAAATAAAAGGAAAAAACGTATATATATCATATAGTTTATATATATAGAAAAATGCCTGTCCGAATGCTGAGAAAATTTCAGATACCACTTCTACCCCCGAGAAAAGGAATATGAAAATACTTGCCTGCATAGAGCCATGTAAAATGCTAAGGTGGCCTGTTGGGTACTTGAGCCTCAGGGAAGAATAAATTCGATTTTTCATATCAAACTTGATACTGAGGCGCAGAATGTCCCCCACCTTAGGTCCAGCCATGAGGCAACACAGGATAGGAATGAGAATCTGCAAGGTTAAATTTATGATTATCACCAGAAAGTTAAGATGCATTTTTATATGGATGAGGAGTAACAGAAGGTAGACAGGCAGCAAAATGATGCTTAATCAGTTTATGCATAGCACACTCGTATTTAGCAAAGAGACAAGAGTCATTACCGATGGTTGGGCAAAGGGAGAACTGTTAAGAAATTCCCCATCTTTGTTAATCCGTCAAGCAGAATAGCAGCAGTTTCGCCCACCTGTTGAGCTGTGATTCGAAATGAGCCAGAAATGGAAATGTGAAACAGGGGAAGGCCTTGCAGTGTCCGCATATCCACAGCTTTTGCCATGCAAATTCGGTTCGCTGCGGCCAATTGATATCCGGATAGGTGGTCTGGAGGGACGATGGAGGGAGGGGCGTATTATGATGAAAGGCTACGTATAACAAAAGACCGAGAGGAATGAGTATAGCTAAAACCGAGTCGCGAAGCCCTAGGTCGACTATTGAGACAAGGAGAATGGCAGAATCATTTCGCCTTCTTCCCCTCGAGCATTGGGCTGGCCTTAAGAATTGTCACCAGCTGTCTTTGAAGACAAGAAGACGAGGCAGGGCGACCTTGATAACCGCTCAGGGTCGAGTCAGATGCCACTCACGCAAGAGGAGTCAGCGAAGAATGTCCAGTATATAGGACCAAGAGCAGCCAAAAGGTTATGTATACTCCCCCCAAGCAAACTATCCGTTAGATAAACTCCCAACGACATAGAGAGTTAGGGCGACTGATGTCCTAGGAGGAAACTCGATATGTGTGATGCAATGGAGCTCCGTGTCAATGGAGGGGAAAGAGAGATAAGCGGCGCTGCTCTCTTTAATTAAATTTGCAGTTAAGTTAATCTGCGGGAGAGACAGGTAGTGTGGGTG